GCGGGGTTCGCCGGCGGCGGGCGGGAGGCCGCGGGCTGCCAGCCCGGGGAGGGGGGAGCGTGTGCCTCCCCGGGGCCGGCGGCGGCCCCTCCGCTCGCCTCTGCCGGGGTGAGCTCGGGGGGCCGGACCCCGCTCTAGATGGGATAAGCTGTAAACATGTTTAGCTTTGAAGGGGATTTCAAAACAAGGCCCAAGGTGTCTCTCGGAGGAGCGAGTAGGAAGGTAAGCAGCGGCGCCGGTCTCCGCGTTAGTGTATGTGTCGGGTTCCCTTCTCCTGTTATCCTTATTTTCACCGTTGGGCCTTCAGAAATGGGAGCAGCTATGACTAAGGTTTAACAGAGGGGGTGGGGGGGGTGGAAGTCGTCCCCTCCTGATGATGTGTGTCAACGATCTCTGTGTTGTGTGTGTGTTTTTTTTTTTTTTTTTTTAATCAGGCCACACACCCCCTCCCAGGCGGGTACCGTAGTAAGAATTGTGGGAAGCGAGGAAATGTCTCCGTAGCTCGTCGTAGTCCGTCCCCGTCCCGTCCCCCCCCCGCAACCACACGGGCTCCGGTTTGTTGTGGCCGGGAGCACCTCCCGGAGCTGTGGGTCTCCTGGGGGGAACGAGGGAAGGACGCGGAGACCTTCTGTCAGCTCCCTCCCATGGGAAAGCCTCGGGTGGTCCCCCCGGGCGGGGCTGACACGACCGGGGATGGATGCGAATGGCGGGAGGGGGGGGGGCTTCATCCACATGAGGGAGGGCTGCGGGGTGCAGATTTAGCTTTTCTCTGTCAAGTTTGCGTTCTGTCAATTTGTCGTTTGCAGGGTGAGTAGCAGTTAATTGTCTGCTCTGCCAGACTATTGAATCTCCTTGGGTTTATTGACGGAAAAGAAGCGAAGTGGTTTATTTAGGTCTTGCTGATTGGACAGAGTAGTCAAATGTTTAGTCAAGCGCTGAAGGGCATAGAACTGTGGAAGAACAAGAGAAAGGACAAGGTGTTTTTAGAAGTGGCCTGATTTGAAAGGGTCACTTTAATTCACTGCTAAAATACTGATTTTCCCATGTTATCGTTGGACATGATTGTGTGGGAAGCTAATGAGAGTTTTCATTAGTATTTTTGAATCTTAATAGGGGTAAAAATAAGTCAAGCTTTTGTTATTGTGCACTGTAAGCAAGTTCAGTTCTCTGAAACTTTTAAGGTTTGGCAGTACAGTTAGGAAACTTGAGCTGAAATACCACACTATATGATATTAAAATCACAGTGAAGTTTGCATTTTGGTGTATTGTCTTACATAACTTATTACAGAGCATGTGTAACAGAACTGTATTTAAATTGTGCAGCTTTTCATCTCAATAGTCTTCTGTTTATCTTAAGACATTTCTGTTCATTGGCATACATAAAATGGCATTATATGAGTCAAAAGTACCGTAAATATTCCCCAGTTGAAGTAGGAATTGGAAGAACATACCATGGTCCTTAGCTGTACACTTTAGGTACTTTGCAACTTCTGACACTGACTTGCTAATAGTGTTACTTGCAGAACTTGTTTCCTTCTACAGAAGTAAACAACTGTCATAATATCTTCTTTTACACCTACTGATTTCTTCATGAAAATTCAGCAGAATTCTATCTATTTGAATTACATGGGACAAATTTATTAATGTTACACAGGTAGAAATTTCCAAGGGCGAGTATTAAAAGGTGAAGGAAGTGGAAACTGAAACTGACACATAACCTTCAGCCTGTCCAATACAGAGGTTGTATTTCATGATCAGATTGATAAATTGATACTGACTGGTCCACAGATTTCATGATTTTCCATTGGTACACTGAAGAGCTTGTGCTGCATCAGTGCAAATCAGTTAGTCGCTGTTTTGGACATCATGATTATATGGACATTGTAGACTGCCCTTGCAATAGCTGCTTATTTTCAGAAACTATTTACAGTACTAATGAAAGACTTTGTTTAAACAGTACTAAGAATTACTTCTAAAAGTGCACCTGAACTTTTATGTAAACATATTACAGCAGGAATTGGTGTGGCATGTGCTTATATGGGTTCCATGAGCTTTTTGTTATCTCATGTCAGAGGCTCCTTGTGATGGTGTTCCTCATACCTACAGGCTTCAGTTTTACAGAAGGCCGAATTGTAAAATATTTCCTCTCAGCTTTTTGTGCACATGGAAAAAAACACCCCAGTTGTTCTTTTACAAACCCCCTCACCCTCCCTAATGTGTATAATTTTAGCAAAATACGGTGTAGTTCTATCCCTGTATCTCTGTGATGCTCTGTTACCTGGATGTTACTGCTTCTTCTGATTCCTTTGGTGGAATAAAGCACATCTCAGAAATACTGGTAGAATATGTTTGCAGGCTGCTTAATGCTAAGAATAAGTTTCTACCCAGTTAGGGGAAGTTTCCCAAATACCTGTATAGCTATACCTGTATACTTTCTCTTTAGGAGAAAGTTCTTTACTGTGAGGGTGGTGGAGCACTGGAACAGGCTGCCCAGGCAGGTGGTTGAGGCCCCATCCCTGGAGATATTCAAGGTGAGGCTTGATGAGGCCCTGGGCAACCTGGTCTAGTTGGGGGTGTCCCTGCTGACTGCGGGGAGGTCGGACTAGATGACTTTTGGAGGTCCCTTCCGGCCTGGACAATTCTATGATTCTATGATTAGCAAAACCCTCCCCGTATGAAAGCAGGGACTCCAGTCTGAAGAGACAGTCAGTGCTAAGTTGCCAGCAGTCTTCCTGGTCTGGATACAACTACACCAGAATAAACCACCAGCAAACCTATTAGAACTGTTGGACTTCTCCTTCCATACCTATTTTCAAAAATCTGCTGATTAGTTTGGACTATTTGCACTAATTGTATATTTGTTTGAGGGTATAGATACTGTGCTTTATTTACAGTGTGGTAAGTTAATTTTTGTGTGTTTTTTTTTTTTTAATTTTTGCGGGTGCTTATTGTCACCTTTAAAACATGATTCCCTGCTTTATGAGATTCTTCAAAAGTTAATTTCAGATTTACATTTTAATTAAAACTGGCAAAACATTTTTTTTATTTTTATTTTTTTTTTACTTTGTAAGTAAAATAATCTCCAAAAATGAATGCTGTTATTGGAGTCCAGAACAGGAACATCTTGAATTACCCGTGGACTCTCTGCACAGGACAGTAATTGTTGCCTGAAAGGCTGTGGCTGCAGAATTTCTGTGGTCTATCAGGCAGGAAAAAAGAGGTGCATCTGAAGAGTTGGTTTGGGGTGAGGTTCAAATTGAGCTGGTCCAACCTAACTGTGCAGTGGACTGAAACAGATGGTCCTTCACCTGGATGGTTCTCACCTCATCTTCTGTTTCCCATGTAGTGAACATATTTCTGCAGGGTGGAGTGTCACCGTGCCTTCTGGTAGCAACTGTCAGGTTTCACTAATTTTATCGTGAAGTTGGACTCTTGGTGACATAGTGCAGAATCTGTTTAACACCACGTCAGCTTGATTTGGTACAGTCAGGCCCAGTGTTTCTTTATTAATTTTATCAACATTAAAAAAAATGTGAGGTACCAGTCCTTTAGTGCATCCATGCAGGGGGATCCCTGTGCCTCTGCTGAGGTGTACAAGGAGCACTGTAGCTCTACTTTATTTGTTTAAGCTGCAAAATGTGTTAATGACACCTTGTAAGCTTTTAAGAGGAAAAATGGTTAAAAGAATATTATTAAGTCAAATTTACAGTGTCACTTGAGATACCTAAGACATGCCTTTATAAATCCCCAAACTGTTTAAAATAGAGTATTTTAAAATTATGATGCCAGTATGAGATGGTTTTAAAAAAAAAATAATCTTCCTTTTCAGGAATACAGATGAGTTAGCACTGTCATAAAAGTGAAAGTGAAACCAACTTCACTGAGTTTCTTTTTGTTTTTTTGTTTTATTTTTGTGGAAAATTATTAATGAACAAATAATGATGACTCCATCTGTATTTTTAAAAGTCTCTTTAATTTCTTTTAATGTGGACACTTAATAATTACAGATCTTTATTTTACAAGGTTTGTATTTTATTTTAGTAGTTACTGATATACTTTCTAAAATTAATAGCATAACATTAAGCATTAGATTCACATATATTTCCCCCCCCTGCTCTCAGCTGAAGTGCAGAGATAGAACTCCAGAAGCACCTTGTTTGCCCTTTGTTTTCTGTATTCTATGGATGAAGTAACTTCTTGTGGAATAAAAATGAATGATTTAAAAAACAGTAGGCTGTAAGATTGCCAGTGTATGGAGAGATCTGCACAGGTTGGGATTGCTTATGGTGATAGATGTCTGTAAGATTTAACAATGATAGGACTGATTTAGAAAATAGTTCTTTCTCTCTTTCCGGTTGATTGAGGAAAGTTCTTAATAATTTCAGGAAGGAAGAATTACTGTTTTATTATATTTTATTTAAACCTACACCAGGTCACAATGGAAATGAATGATGCTTGGGATTTATAGTACAGGATTCTAGGTTATAATTACAAATTTACAATTTATTTTTGAATGATGGGAAAGAATTGCACAGATTTGTTCCATAAGCCCTTTGTCCTGTAAAGCACATAGAGTAGGTCCTTATGCAAGTACATACCTCATTCTGAGTCAGAAGTGTGTTTTGTCCAGAACATTGAAATGTCAAAGCCTAAGTCTTGAAATACTCTTTGAATTTCAGGTCTGTGGTGTGGGAAATATGATGAGACCATTATGTTGTAAAATAATGACTATCAGTAGGAAACTATATAATTAATGCATACTAGATTCTTGTGGATTTTTTCCCCTCTTTGTGACATCTGAAATTCTCCTTGTTTGAAAGGAAGCTATGAATGATGGAATTGTATTTAGCTGACAGCAGTGATTTTATTTTCAGTTATTTTCAGTTCTGTGCAATTTTCTCAAATTCAAACCCAAATTTTCTGCTTATATAGATAACCCCTTGGCTTGCTTCTGAGAAACTGAAAAGTTACTCAACTACAGTGATGTGTACAGTATACATCTTAAAAATCATAATACAGACAAACTGGAGAGTAAATTTAAGAACAACTTTGTTTTATTTCTTTTGGCCTCTAGAGCCTCCAGTCAAGTTCTGGTTCCACTGTGTAGTTACTGTGTCAAAGGGCCTTCCAGATACTCCCTACATCCTATGGTAAAATTTGAGCTAAAATGCTGAGGTGTTTTCTAGCAAGCACTGTGACATTGATTTCAGTGATGCCAGGCTTTCCCTGGCCAAATGCCTTTTCCTGAGCATATTTTAAGTACTTTAAAATACTTTCTTCTGGAAGATGGTATAATTTTAATCATGATGTAAACAATCAGTCACAAACTGTTCTAAAGCTGAATTTTTCAAGCTGCTGAACATGTCTTACTCAGCCTGGCTGAGCTGTGAGTCCAATGGGATTTAAATTTTCGAGGTTCAGTTCGAGACATTGTGAATATTTTAAAATGCAAATTTCTTTTGATATTCAGCAAAGCCAATTGAAGTGGAGTTTATTTTGTCTAAAATAATGTTGGGAACTAGAAACATTGTTAAGAACCACTTTAGAGGGAGACATCTCCCAGTGTCCACATTTGTTTTCTGCAAAGAGATGCTACAAAGTCTTCCTTGTATTTGTTGGACTTGCCACATATGAGTGTTGAAAGGAATTTTATTCTGTAAATTGCTTATGTCACTTAATCTGCTTTGGGAGTTCTGTGGTTCAAGCTGAATTCTGCTGAGAAGTCATGTTCCTTGTTTTAAGGAAAGAAAAAAGATGCAAGGTCCTGGATTTTGTAGGTTAAAATCATGCAAGGTTTTAAAATTGTGCCCAAAAGTTGAAAGAGCAATTAATTATTTGTTTTTCCATAAAATGCCCGAGAAGTCATGCCTTCTACTTTGCATGATCTGTTGTAATGTTAAATAGGATAGCATTCTCAGCTACAGAAAGAAAATAAACCCCTGTGGCTTACAAATAAATCTTAAGCTTTTATTAATAATGTATAATTTTTTGCATCATTGTATTTTTGCTGTTTTTTAAAAAATGTGCTCTCTGTTTAGACAATACCTGAAAATAATGACTCAGTTTCCCATTTGTATGTAGCATATTTAGGTTTTAAATTTACCTGTATGGAGGTAAGATGGCTTGTTTAACATGACTGTCCAGGAGTGTTCAATTTCAGATTTTAAAGAGTCAGCAAATACTAAGAGTATTTGAAAAAAATTAATTATGTGTACTTTTTTTTTCCTGAACCTGAATTTTGAGCTGAGGGCTGAAAGTTTATTAATGCTTTTAATGCAAGGTGTCAAATGTAGGACAAAAAGAATTGTATGTGTTTATGTTATTCAGTCTTTGTCTAGGATATGTAAAGGGTAAGAGTTGAGTAAACGTACTTCTGCAGCAAAATAGTGTATTCCAGCAAAATGAGGACAAAAAAGCAGTTTTAATTAATTTTTTTTTTTCATTTTGTATTTGATTGGAGTTTTTGAAGCAATGACATTGACATTGTTACGCTGTTAGATGCGGCTGTTCTTGTCAGCTGGGCTGTTACAACAGTGGTGCAACTTTGAACTTTGCTGTGATGAATAATACAGTACATAGCAGTTTTATCCTGATGTATAAATTCATATTTTAAATATTGTTTGTATTACTTAACATTTCTTTGATGGTAGTCACAAGCTTTCCTTCCTGTATACTGTTTTCCATCTGCTTCCTTGTGTTCACCTCTTTTCACCTTCTGTCTTACTCTTTGAGTCATCATCCATGTCACATTGCGTTTTGCTGTCACATATTCTTTCTTTGCTTTCTTGTTTCTTTGTGTCATGTCTTACATATTTGAAGAAAGTGTCTCAAATTGGGCTCTTCATGGTCCAGAGCATGAGGTTGGTTGTCTTTACCAAGTTCTCCTGTTGGATGAAGGAGCAGACAGGAAGGGGGCTGTTAGGAATACACTAAATATGGCATGAAACACACAGTATATTCCCTACTCTGCACTTTGGAGGTCAAGCTGCTGCAGTTTGGTTATTTTTTCTTTTTGAAGTGGTTTGGTTTAAAGAGTGCTTGCTTCATAGAGACCAGATTCCTGATCAATGCAAAGCTGGTGATACACTGAGGATATTCTGCCCTCTTATATCTCACCCTCTCTCCAAATACTTGAAATTATTTGGCTCTGATAAGCCCTCTGGCCACTTATTTTCCTTTATTAACTAATCCATTACATTTACTGTGTTTGTATCTTTTCATACCATTGTCTTCTCTGCTCACATGTAGCAATTTGTCTGTCTTTGGCTTTTTCTTTCAATCCATTCTGAAGCGTAAGGACAAATTTAGCAACTTCTGCTTCTAAGCAGAAGTTCTCTCTATACGGCTCTGCCTCTGGAATGGAGCTCTCCAAGCAGATGCTAGAAGTGAACACAGTGACATCTCTTCATAGGAAGGAACATTTTAATAACTTCTGTAACGCATCAGGTATCAGCTGTTGGAAAATAAGTAATCTGTTAAAAAAAGTCGGGAAACTTTTAGCCATCTGTTGGTTATTTCTTAATTTAGTTCATTATTTTGCCTTTTTTGTATGCGTGAGGTCAGAATCTCTTGCCTCATATTACCAAGCAGATCTGGAGCCTTTCCTATCGCTTGAGTGGAGATACATCATCTTATATATAGATTTTGTTATGATTTGTTTATACTGTATTTAACACATGGAAAAAACCCTGTCTTTAGAGGACAATAGTGGTAGTTAGTGGTGTCTTTGGACATAAATACTGTCTTTAGAGGAAAAGATGGTTAACCTTCTTGTGGGATTTTTTTTATGCTTGCTCCAGTAAATGACCTGAAATGCAAACCCAAGTTTAAATTCATTTTTTGCATCTGTGTTTTTCTTCTTTCTTTCTCTCCTGGTGGTCTGTGTTAAAGTATTTTCTATCCTAATGGAACGAGGAGAATCAGCTATGACCTGAGTTACTCTGTGTCGTCAGAAAAGAAACGCGGAAGAGTTTTGCCCTCGGTTTTTTTATCTCCAGATGGAGATTGAAAATGTTGCAGCACAGTTATTTATTTTAGATGTGGTAAAATGTTTATAAACACTCGTTTGCCAACTTCAAATTTATTTTTGTGTACTTTGCTATAATACATTTTCAGCTTGACTGTATTTTATTTCTTTATTTCTCTAGACTAATAAGGGCATAGGGTGAAAAAGGAAGTTGTTGTATGTGTAGTAGAAGCAAAAAAAAGAAAATAGTTTCCTTAAATCTATTGTCTGTTTTAGACTGGATTTGGGAAGGTGCTAGGGTACCTTCAGCTCTCATTGGCTGCAGTGGGGGCTGAATGCTCTGCATCAAAAAGGAATTATTTTGTATATTTCCGTGGAAACTGCACAGAACCATCCAGTAAGAGATCCTTGCAAATAAAGCTTTGTTTATATTTTGTAATCTTTGTGTACTTATTTAAGATTGAGGTTTCAAAAGCTAATGCACAGGTTTTCTGTTGTAATGGTGTTGTTCTTTAGAGGCCTCATAAATACTTTAGTGTTCTTTATCTCTATTGGAGAGGTCACTGTTCTGAAGGTTCAATTTGTAGCCTTAATTTGGGTGAAGAGTTCAAATTTATAAAAGAAAAAATTCCTACCACTTGTGTTATATAGGTCTGTTTTGACATCTTTTCCGGACAAGTTTTGAGGAAAAGAATAAGTAAATATAAGAGCTTAATGCCTTTTGTAAGTTAGACAAAGGCATGGATATTTGGAACAGTATGTGATTACTTTGAACATGCTGTCTGCACCTGGGCCAATGGCTTACGTACGCTCCAAGCAGGAAAAAGCTCAATAAACATTTGGTGCTACCTGGTAGGACTGGGATCCTATTATGTTTGAGCTCCCCCATTTGTAAATCCATGATGTTTGCCTAGGTTTATTTGCATGATGAGGACACAAAGCTGGACGGGGATCAGTATAGTTTGCTGCTGTTTGCCTGTCCCTTCTCTTTCTACATAGCTTCCCTCTGCCACTGTGCTTTTGAGAGGGCTGCATTACATGTATTTGTAAGAGTGGAAAATGATTAACACGTACTTTTCTCCAGTGTTTTACGTATTCCATATCATGAACAATCCCCAAAATGAAGTCTAGATTAAATATCATTAACATATTTGAATCATGTGTTTGAATGAAAATGCAATTGTATATTTTTTTTGTGCTTCATAGGAAGAAAAAGCTTCTCTCCTGCATCGTACTCAGGAAGAAAGGAGAAAACGAGAGGTAAAGTAGATTGTAAACGTTTGCGTGGACACTGGGTATATCTTTGATGTAGTAACATTTACAGTCCAAAGTATTTTATGCTGCTGCAGTTGTGCTTAGTTCAGGAATGTTTTGTTTCAGTTTGCAAGTTCTACATAGTCTTCTGGTATACTAGAATTGACAAACCTTTTGCCTGCTTTTAAGGTGCTTCCCAGAAGTGATTTTCATCTTGAAAGAAGGTAGTTAAGCATGCACTAGGTGCAAACGGAATTTTTCCTTTTGGTTCTCATTTGATCTAGTCTTTATTGAGAAAAGGCAACTTTTTGGATAGTAAATGGCACTTACTTTGCGTTTTCCATGATCTGTTACTATGGGTTGGTCTCGGCAAACTGTTTCCTGCTCCTGGTTCTGCTGTGGTTTCTTGAGTCACCTTCAGCAATTCATTTTGCCAGCTTGTGCCTCGTTCTGTGGAGGTAGAATCAAAACAATCATACTTGAGTGAGTCCTCAAGTGTTTTGAAATCACCTGTAATTGAGGAGCAATGAGAAGCAGTTGTGAGGCTTTAGAATAGTCTTAAAACTGGTTTGAGATTGAAGTTTACTGCCATGGATAATTCAGTCTGGAGTAATGCAAAGGAGGAATAGGCATGGAAAGGAAAATTACAGGTTTTAAAACATGAATATATGTGGCAATATGAAATCAAAATTTAGTAACATTATAGTAAAATTATTTTAAAATAAATTATTTTAAAAGTGTAATTGTAGTTTTCATGCTAATCAAGAAAATAGAGCTGTTTGGCCCTTAAAGATGTGTTTGACTCTTGCTAGGTTAGATACAGATTCTGCAGTGGCTATTTTGTTTCTGAGGACAGTAATTGTTTTTGGGTTTTTTTTAAATTTTCTTTCTGACCTGTATGTATAATTATGGACCAAGTTCAATGAATTTCACTGAATTTCACTGAATTTCTAGAGTTGGAAGGGACCATAGAGATCATCTAGTCCAACTCCCCTGCTGAAGCAGGATTGCCCAGAGCTAGAGCATGTTACTCAGGACTGCATCCAGGCGGGTTTTGAAAATCTCCAAGGAAGGGGACTCCACAACCTCCCTGGGCAGCCTGTTCCAGGGCTCTGTCACCCTCACCGTGAAGAAGTTTCTCCTCATATTTGAGTGGAACCTCTTATGTTCCAACTTGTGCCCGTTGCCCCTCGTCCTCTCACTGGGAACCACTGAAAAGGGCTGAATGCTCTGCATCAAAAAGGAATTATTTTGTATATTTCCGTGGAAACTGCACAGAACCATCCAGTAAGAGATCCTTGCAAATAAAGCTTTGTTTATATTTTGTAATCTTTGTGTACTTATTTAAGATTGAGGTTTCAAAAGCTAATGCACAGGTTTTCTGTTGTAACGGTGTTGTTCTTTAGAGGCCTCATAAATACTTTAGTGTTCTTTATCTCTATTGGAGAGGTCACTGTTCTGAAGGTTCAATTTGTAGCCTTAATTTGGGTGAAGAGTTCAAATTTATAAAAGAAAAAATTCCTACCACTTGTGTTATATAGGTCTGTTTTGACATCTTTTCCGGACAAGTTTTGAGGAAAAGAATAAGTAAATATAAGAGCTTAATGCCTTTTGTAAGTTAGACAAAGGCATGGATATTTGGAACAGTATGTGATTACTTTGAACATGCCACAACTTGCTGTACGCACCTGGGCCAATGGCTTACGTACGCTCCAAGCAGGAAAAAGCTCAATAAACATTTGGTGCTACCTGGTAGGACTGGGATCCTATTATGTTTGAGCTCCCCCATTTGTAAATCCATGATGTTTGCCTAGGTTTATTTGCATGATGAGGACACAAAGCTGGACGGGGATCAGTATAGTTTGCTGCTGTTTGCCTGTCCCTTCTCTTTCTACATAGCTTCCCTCTGCCACTGTGCTTTTGAGAGGGCTGCATTACATGTATTTGTAAGAGTGGAAAATGATTAACACGTACTTTTCTCCAGTGTTTTACGTATTCCATATCATGAACAATCCCCAAAATGAAGTCTAGATTAAATATCATTAACATATTTGAATCATGTGTTTGAATGAAAATGCAATTGTATATTTTTTTTGTGCTTCATAGGAAGAAAAAGCTTCTCTCCTGCATCGTACTCAGGAAGAAAGGAGAAAACGAGAGGTAAAGTAGATTGTAAACGTTTGCGTGGACACTGGGTATATCTTTGATGTAGTAACATTTACAGTCCAAAGTATTTTATGCTGCTGCAGTTGTGCTTAGTTCAGGAATGTTTTGTTTCAGTTTGCAAGTTCTACATAGTCTTCTGGTATACTAGAATTGACAAACCTTTTGCCTGCTTTTAAGGTGCTTCCCAGAAGTGATTTTCATCTTGAAAGAAGGTAGTTAAGCATGCACTAGGTGCAAACGGAATTTTTCCTTTTGGTTCTCATTTGATCTAGTCTTTATTGAGAAAAGGCAACTTTTTGGATAGTAAATGGCACTTACTTTGCGCTTTCCATGATCTGTTACTATGGGTTGGTCTCGGCAAACTGTTTCCTGCTCCTGGTTCTGCTGTGGTTTCTTGAGTCACCTTCAGCAATTCATTTTGCCAGCTTGTGCCTCGTTCTGTGGAGGTAGAATCAAAACAATCATACTTGAGTGAGTCCTCAAGTGTTTTGAAATCACCTGTAATTGAGGAGCAATGAGAAGCAGTTGTGAGGCTTTAGAATAGTCTTAAAACTGGTTTGAGATTGAAGTTTACTGCCATGGATAATTCAGTCTGGAGTAATGCAAAGGAGGAATAGGCATGGAAAGGAAAATTACAGGTTTTAAAACATGAATATATGTGGCAATATGAAATCAAAATTTAGTAACATTATAGTAAAATTATTTTAAAATAAATTATTTTAAAAGTGTAATTGTAGTTTTCATGCTAATCAAGAAAATAGAGCTGTTTGGCCCTTAAAGATGTGTTTGACTCTTGCTAGGTTAGATACAGATTCTGCAGTGGCTATTTTGTTTCTGAGGACAGTAATTGTTTTTGGTTTTTTTTTAAATTTTCTTTCTGACCTGTATGTATAATTATGGACCAAGTTCAAGTATGAAGTTACTAGGATTTCACCAGTTAGTTCAGAATGCTGTTGTATGAATTAATTTTATGATCAGAGTGTCTTTATCAACGTATGCAAAAAGAGTTTTTTGCGCATTGTAAACTTTTGGCCATATACTGAAATAACACATTCAGTTTCTTAATTCTGTCTGCTGCAGAGCTGGTGCAGAGTCATATACTCGTATCTGTCTATGTACACACATACACACAACGAGTTCTCTGTGACGTATATCGGATTCTCACAAAATGAATGACTCCTCTGAGAATGAAACCAGTTATGGCTTTAAAAAAAAATGCCTGTAGCAGAATCTTAGCAGTGACCTCAGACTTAAAACCTTTGCAATTACGGGTCGCTAATTGACAATTATGTATTCCAGGATAAAACCTGTATCTAAAGAAAAGGAGAACGTATCTACTTTTTAGTTGAGCATTACATTATGATTATGAAGAGACAGTGCCTCTCTGTAATTGAAACTCTCTCCTGCTTGCCCCCAGTACTTAGCACTTTTTCTGTTAGATACTTTGGAGAGAAAAATACCCTTTGACCTAACAAAATTTTTATTTTGGTCTGTGCTCTAGGGGTAATTAGATTCTTTCAAGTATATGCTTATTCTGAGAAATTGCTTTAGGAGATGGGGTTTCCAAGGTAGGCATTGAATAGCAAATTCATCTGACGTTTCTCTGGTCAGTTCAGGTTAAGTTCAAGTTTTTGCAAGTTGAAAGTTTATGTGAACTTTCCCAAATGTATTTTAATGAAATTTATAAAAGCATCTTGGTGGTTTGTTTTGCCGGGTTGCCCTCAGAATTATGGGCTCATTATAGTGCAAGGATTGATGAGGTTAAAATTTATCTTCTCAAAGCAGGTGTCTCTGATTTTTACTCTGGGTCTTCCTACTTGCCCTTCCCAAACCATTGCTTTGTAGCTCTAGGTTCATGAGAAACTACTGTATTTACTTCCCTCCTTCATTCCCTAAGAAACTATATGAACATTATTAGAAAACTAATTACAGTAGCCACTTCCCTTAGATATTTTTTGTGATGGGATATGCTGGGGGTGTTGTCATGGGATGCACTGAGTGCTCTCTATAGTACCTGAAGCAAGCTGGCTTTCAGCTCCCCAGAAAGTGAGCCATTGTATAAAGGGATGCCTTTAAATACCCTTTCTAGCTACTGAGGAAGACATCACAAAATGACTCACTTCATATGTCTGGTTTGAAGGAGAGAGCACGGATTTTTGTTAATTTCCATGTTGTGCTCCTGGGCTTAAAGAATTAAGCTTAATTTTCTTTTTGACAGCAGTATTTTCTCCAAATAACTGGGGTTTTTTTGTTTGTTTGTGTGGTTGGTTCCTTTTTTTGTGGTTTGTGGTTTTTTCCCCCCGTCTAAATGACATCAATCTCATAATACTGATCTGTTATTTTAATGGAAACAAATAAGCAGGTCTTCAGCGTTAGGTGATCTATGCAGAAAGAGGACAAGTGTAATTGAATTTGATGAATTTGTCAATGTTTTAGTATTAAGTCTTTGTGTAATAAAACACAAATGTGTTTATTTTGTTTTCTATAGCATTACATGCTTATGAGTATTAAACATTCTTTTGCAATATCTTAATAGTAAGTTTACACTTAAAAACATAAGAAGCTTTCTCCCTGATCTATGTGTATTGGATGGAAACTTTCAAGCAGTTAATTTTACTAATGATTAGTGCTTAATTTACATTTTAAAAAATTCCTTTTGAATACAAATAATATATGACTGTATGAATTAGACAGTGCCACAACATTGATTTTGATTTTTTTGCTTTCTTTTACAGGAAGAAAGGCGGAGGCTGAAAAATGCAATAATAATCCAGTCATTTGTAAGAGGGTACAGAGATAGAAAACATCAAGTAAGTATTTATTATTTATTTAGAAAGGCGTGAAACAGTTTTGCTGAAAATGAAACTTTCTAGTAATAAGTAATTTCATTGGAAAATCTTCATCTTTTTAAGTCTTGTGTGAGCTCACAAAGTGCAAGTTCTTTTTCCCTCTTGACATTTTCGTTTGAACCTCAATATTTTACTGCATGGATGTTTATTCTGCAAAGCATATATGTGACAGTGGACTTCAGTAGGATTATGCAATGTTTATTTGAGCTGACAAAGCATGTGGAAACACTTAGGTATTAGCAGTTTTCACATGTCAGTGGAGCTTTTATTTTGTTCCGAAGGTAGTAGTTCAAGTCAAAAAGTTCTTCTTTCCAAGCTGCTGTTGGGTAGATTATTCTAAGAAAGGGTTGTTATCTGTTTAAATTTACTAATACTTACTGAGTAGAATAGATTAAATGTTTCATGTGATAGTCTTTTCTTGACAAACAACAAATTTGTTGCCATATGTACTTGTTGTACATAGTAACATAGTAACTAGGTTATTATGTGTATGTTTAGATCTCTTAACAAGTATGTGTTGTAGCCATTTTACTACTTTGCTTCCACTTTGGATGGGAAACTGAAACGAGGTTTTGAAAAATTTGCATCTCTGTTTGAAATCATAACCATTGATATATTGATGCATGTCTTATTTTTAAGTACTCTATCCAAAGAAGTGAATTTGATCGTTGTGCTAATTTGGCCCAATCTGGAGGAACCTTTTCCACCGCTAATGGAGCGAATTTGACTCTCTTAGTTCGTCAGTTGCTCTTTTTCTATAGACAGAATGAAGATTCTAAGCGTTTGGTGAGTACTATTACATACTTTGATCCATAGTACTTTTATTTCATGCACCTTTAAAGTATTCTTTCACTTGATAGATTTTGAAGGGATGCAAAAAAAGGCTTTGACCAGTTCAGTAAATTCATTTAAGAATTTTGGCTTTTGTTGGCCTGCACTCTTTTGTTTTTTGTTCAGACAGAACAACTAAAAATCAGATTTTATATGTGCGCTCACACACGCACCCAAAATCTTTGATATGAAGCCTTGAAAAATCCTCTGTGTGTTATTCACAGTAATTTATTAAAAATAATATCCTTCTATTATAATTTAATTTTTAAACAATATTTTCCACTTAGCCCTCTGGTCATTCCTAAGGTGTGTGGTTTCTTTTTTTTTTCACTGGTCAATAATTCTGGCATATCAATTGCAAAGTCACTGCAAACTTCCCAAATGTACAAGTAAGTATAATTCATAGTGGGTATTGACAATGGACATTAAAGAATTATGGCTATTTAAAAACAAAAAATTGACAGATAAATTTTTTGCAAGAGTAAAGATATTTGTACGTGTAATTCAATCTTAACTTTGGAAGTTTAGTACTAGCAGTCATGTAGATTGTTGTGTAACAATTTTTTCTCAGATGAACATGATTGTCTCGCTTTGTGTTTTCTTAGTCCTCCAAAGGTATTCAAACCAGGGATGAAATATTAATATCTGTGTTACAATAAATAATATAACTTGTTGTTATAAACAGTAAACTTGTGCATATCTTTTACCCAGGTATGGATGTGTCAGAATTTAATTAAACAAAGTTCTCAGTTTGTTAAGCAATTGGATGGTCCAGACAGACTTACTTGCTTATTCCAAATAAAAAGACTGTTGGGGCTGTGTTGCAGGTAAATTCTTTTTTCTATAAGCTACTGTCTAAAAAGCGTTAAGAAATTATGTTGGGCACTTCTTTTGTTTCTTTTTTTTTCAGCAGGTAAATGATTAAATACACATTTATCTGATGGAGAGGACTGTTTGGTAAATATATATCTAGGCCATGGTATAGGATGCTTGTTCCTATGTAAGAACAGTGGAATTGACTTTCAAGTTCAGTGTGTGCTTAAGGGATGCCCTGCCTAAGGAGAAGCTGAAGTATGTTCTTAACTGCTTGCATATAGCGACATCATTAGCAATTTTTGTGAAAACCAGAAGGTTTTCTTGGGAACTGATAGTGATTAGAAGGTATTACCAGAGTTAATGTTCCAACGATGAGCTTTGGATATATTTTATTTTAGAACTAGTGTTATTTAAGATGCCTTTCCTCACACTTCGTTTTGAATGTAAGATTGTTAAGCAGTTCCGTTACTGGCGTCAGCAGTACAGTTATTATTTGTAGTGGATGGATCCTGGGAGGATCACAGGAGGGTAGATCTATCAAGGTGGCTTGAATAGCTGGCAGCTAAAGCTTAGTATTAGAAAACAATATATTTGCTCTTACTAATAATCGGAACTAGTTATACCTTTAAATTTTTTTTTTTTTTTTTTTTTTTCTTTTAATGTTGAGACTTTTTCAGAAAATGATTTCATTCAAGTCACTGGACCTTGAGCTCTTAGAGTTGTGGTCGACTGTACATATAATAAACAGTGACAGCAGATACTAAAGAAGACTTGAGTGGTGGGCTTCAAAGTCCGCATGCAGTGGAACACAGCTGTGATCTCACTGGATTGAATTACACATTTTTGCTACAGTTGAAATTGCGGTTTTATAAATGCAGCTCTGTTAGTATTTCTGCTCTCCCTGGGTGATGTGGAAAAGCAAAATGAGTGAAGGAATTGTTCCTGCCTATACATATAGGGGGAACCAAGGAAGAAGCTCTTCCTAACTTCCCCTTGCCAGCATGATGATGGGTGTCTATACTTGCTTTCTGAGCTATTTTAATTTTTTGCAAAAGCCCAGAAGGTGAGCAGTGGGACAGGTGGCCAAAAAAGTGTTTCCCTGGGATAAGTTCATCTTCATGAGAAGCTGTAGCTTTTGATGCTGTGGAAAAAAAGGTGACTCTGTAATATCATAGCAAAAAAATAGTAGTTTGATTGCGGCTACATCTACAAAAAAGGTCAGAGTATCTTTTTTTTTGTTTAGTGAAATGTCTTAGATATGGTGTCAAAATACATTTTTACTGATAGGTCCCATCTTCCTGATTGTCTGTGAAAGAAAGCACATTGTTAGAGTAACTATACTTATATACATCTCATTCTAACATTCATTTAATGCTAAACAGGCACTTAATCTTCACCATATCTGTGGTTACTGGTGGTTGTTTCATAAGCAATTTGCTAAAAGGATGGGATGGTTTGTATTTTTAATATTTCAGTCTGTAATGAAGGACATATTGCTTTAGTTATACACAAGACGTCCCCTAGAGTTTGTTCCAGCCCATATTGCTCTGGGGCTTTCATGACTTCATTTTTAATATGGGTAGTAATACATGTTGGAAAAACATGTATTATTCTTTGCTTCTCTTCCAGCTCATGCAGTAGACCTTCAAACTGTCAAGTCATTGAAAGCAATAATTTAGCAGGATTTAAAGAGAGTGTGCAATATTCATAGAAACCTTAAAATTGGGAATTATTATTATAAAGGTGCCAATAAAAAGATGTGGCTATACTACTGAGGACATTGGAAACTAAGTAGAAATAAGTTATTTTGAGCTGAATGTGAAAAGGGTTTTTTGGTAGTTTTATTTTAAAATCAGTGTGTGTATGCCTGTGGTGAAATAAGAGAAATATCTTGTTAAATAATTTTGCTGTCATTTCATTTATAGGCTATTGCAAAATTGCAATGACGACAGTCTGAATGTTGCACTTCCTATGAGAATGCTTGAGGTATTTTCATCTGAGAATACGTATTTGCCTGTTTTACAAGATGTCAGCTATGTGACATCATTAATTGAACAAATTTTGCACTACATGATTCAAAAAGGTGAGTAGCTAGGAAGTGTAAGTTCTGGGAAATACTGAAAAATTAAACAGAATGTGTAATACCTGAAGACCATGTTGTTTAGTCGTGTTTTGCCTTTACCACAGACGCAATGTGATAAAGTGCTGCATACAGTGACCTACATATTAGATGGATATTTTGTTTGTAATGAGATCATTACTTGAGAAATTACTGTTTGATTTATTTGGAAATTCTGTTTATAAATTGAATATTCTACCAAGTCTACAGACTTCTACGATGGATTTTGAGAGTAGGTGGATATTACCTAACAGAAGTTTTATTCCAGGAGCTGTTTATGTGCACACTCACACACACTGTGCTAGGCCTCAGCTTTAGTTGTGTAAAAGTTGGGCTTTGTTTTGCAGTACTGTTCTCTGTAACTGCTAGTGTTCGTTAGTATCATAAATTGTCATTGCCTTTTCATCCTGCTAACACTAGAGATACCTTAGCAAAGAGATGGTGAACTAGCTTTTATTTCCTTTGTGCCATCATTAGCAAAACTGTTTGTAACTGCAATCAGTTACACCTGTGCAAACATACTGAAAGTTAATGAATTGTGTGGTTATCACTAAAATTCTGTTTTGTCTTGAAGAAACTTTATTAGTCTGGGAATGTGCAAAAATAATTAGTTTGTCTTTCTGATACCATAGCTCGAATTTGCAAGACTTGTGAATGGGGAGGAAAGACAAAAACATGAAATAAAACATTTCGGGTCCATCTTCATTGGTGTAAAACTTAAGAAGAGGACCTTCCAACTAGGCTATCTTATCCTGTCATAAAAGATTTGGTTTTAACTACTGCATGTTGAAGTCACTATGAGGAAAAAAAGTGACTGTTACTGTAGCACATTTATTTTACTTAACTAAATTTACTTAACTAACCCGGCATAACTAAAAGTATAGAAGTATTTGTATTTGTCTTATTGCTTACTATATCATAAGTCTATCTTCCAGAATACTTTAATAAATTATAGTTTTGTTCTCTTAGTATAATATTAAATTGTCACAAATGATCTATGGAAGTTTATCAAGATGTTGGATCATAAATTTTAGTAAAAAAATTCAGCTTTCTGATCACTTACAGTCAAAACAAAAAGAAGTATTTGTGTGCAACTGCAGATGTTCTGTCTCCTAATTGCTTATAATGGTTATTTTGTAAAGAATCTGTAATCAGCTTTTTTAGGATATGTTGTTGTATGTAATTTGTCTTGTCAGCATTGTGAAGTTATTCCTTTACAGTGATTTCCACTTGTATTGTGTGTCAAGGTAAGTAGTCCCCGACAAAGGGTCTTAGACTGGACCTCTCAATAATGCAACACTATTTACGCATTTATGGGGGTTCCTATAGTTTCGGAACTTGAAGCTTAGTTTAGGAGTTCATTGAGCAAGAGGAAGTTGGTTTAAGAAGAATGAAATCACGTGACTCCATTTGTACTTTAGTGAGACAAAAATAGATTATGCTCTACTCATGTCTTCATGGCTTGGGTGGTAATGCATTTTATTACTGTCTGAGACATCCCTATTTTGGGAACAGTAATTGTACTCTTCAGCCTGCTAAGGCAAGGTGTTTATAGAATTGAGACATTCTGCCAACAGGATTGTTACCTGTATGACACAGTCACGTTTTGGAGTAGAGAGGAAATTCATCATTTCTGAAAAGGTGGAAGGACAGCTGTCAAAAACATGCCTAGAGTCACTCAGAGGAGAAAAGAATGTCTTTTCCATAGGTCACTGTTTAAAAAAAATTAATTATTCACTTCATCAGCAGGAGTGGTTGGTGTTTGAAAGATCGAGCTGACTTTGAATGCGATTATCTATCTATGATTTTTATAAAGTTATGTTTCCAAAGAGGTTGTTGATAAATCCTGTTAGTTATGTGAATGTGACTTGGACTATTGTAAAATGTACCCCTAAGTAAAGCTTCATGCTATGAATTGTAAAGTATTTTTCAAGTTAAAAATGTTAAGTATATAAGTTGTTTTGTGCAGAAAAGAAGTAAAATAATACTGTATTTAAAAAGTGGTATTTCTTATTTTCAGGCTACTACAAGTCGCTTTATTTGTTAATTAACAATAAGCTTCCCTCAAGTATTGAGTATTCTGATGTTTCTCGAGTCCCTATTGCAAAAATACTTCTGGAGAATGTTCTGAAGCCATTGCACTTTACATATAGCTCCTGTCCAGAAGGTGCAAGGTAAATAAAGATAATATAGGCTAGTTTGTATACTTATTTGTTATTCTCAAAGGTGCACAGTTTGTTGTTGAGTGTCTAGCTATTCTTTCAGTGCCGTTTGTTGATTTATTTGCAATATTAATGATTTTTTTGTAATGTATTTCATCATTGAAACAATGTAGTTTCAGGTGTGTTTAAGAAAAAGGCAACAAAATGCTGAAGATGACAATAAACAGCACAAAGAATAGCAGGTATCATAATATGTAGGAACATAGGTGTGGAAAAAATTAGATGAGAGCAGAGTTGCAGCTAAGGGCAGGTGAAAAGAATTTTACAATTAAAAGGAACTTCGTGACAAAATAGCTGAGGTTTATGAAGAGAAATAACTAAGTCATAACTTTTTCTTTCAAGAAGAAAGAGTCAGGTATGTAGAAAGATGAACAAAAATCAAACTCTGGTTATATCATGTGCTAGTGTTTTGTGTTAAAGTAGTATTTTTGGGGATAAAGACTTACTGTGTTTTTTAATGTATTTTTTTATGTAAAGAATATGAAAATCAAATTTAACTTCAGAATAGTTTTCTGAGGGTACCTGAAAAGTTTAAGGATAAAATTATATATAAGATCATCAGGAAAAGCATTGTCAGAAAACGTAGTGTAAGAAGTTCTTTTTTGAGAAATCTGAGAAATTTGGTTTATTAGCGCAGGATTAATGGAGCACGTCTTTGCCGTTTTCTTGATGGACGTGTTCAAACGTGCAAATTGATCTATTATTCCATGGGTATAAATGTGGGAAATTGTGTCTATATTTTCTATAAAGACAATTTTTCTTCATTTCAGGCAGCAGATTTTTGCAGCCTTCACAGAGGAGTTTCTGGCAGCACCTTTTACGGATCAGATATTCCATTTCATCATTCCAGCGCTTGCTGATGTGCAGACCATTTTCCCATATGAACTCTTTCTGAATGCACTATTATTAGCAGAAAGTGGATGTTCAAGAAGAAGTGATCAAGCCCCATGGCTTTTTTACTTTGTGTTAACAGTTGGAGAAACGTACTTAGGTGAGAAAGCTGGATGACCAACTCATTGTTTTTTCATATTTGAGTTAATATGTATTTCCACAACATGGTTCATTGCCAAGCAAAAATGACAGTTTGTGGATACAAGTATTGGACACAACTGTTTTATTAGCTATTCTTACCCTTTTCAGTAAAAAGTACACTTAATTTGGGAAGATTTGGCATAATGTGTTTTGGTTGGGTATTTCTGGTAAAATATATTTTATAGTACAGTGTGGTCGGACTATTGATCTTTTATTTCAATGTCTGTGTTATAGGATCCCTTTCAGAGGAAGGACTTCTTGTGTATCTGAGAGTACTCCAGACTTTCCTCTCTCAGCTGCCTGTGTCTGCTGCTGGTACAAATTGTCAAGATGCAAACAGTGATTCTGAAGATGAGGATGAAGAGATCAGTAAAATGACAACTACACCGGTAAGCAGTGCAGAATTCCTTTGAATAAATTTGTGTTGCAGCAGCAAATGCAGGCAAAAACATGATTACCATAAGTCCAGTATGTTCCTAGGTATCTGTAGAACGGAGCATGTTTGCTTCTTAAAAATAGATGGAGCTTCTTAAAAATAGAATAGTCATAATGTAAATATTGGCACATTCTACTTCTGGCTTAGAGATACTGGTGATGTTTAACTGAAAACAATATATTTCTATTTACAGGTAACTTAAAATAATTTGTAAATTAGAGAAAATCTGCTGTGAGGAGGCTTTAATAGATAATACTGTTTATTGCAATTAGTTTTTCTTGCATTTCTCCTGTGAGTTTTTTATGTATTCCAGATTTTTATGCGTGCCTGTCTAACCAAAAAAAACCCCCAAAATGGGAGAGTGGGTGGGGAACCCCTCTCTCTTAAAAGTTAGTAATTGGATAACTTGTGTCCTTCAATGAGTCGGACTGCTTTGCTCTGTTGAGGGCAAGGTACAGAGAGGAAATAAGGAAAAGGAAAGGTTGAGCTGTACTCAGCTCTATGCCAAGAGAAGGCATTCCTCTTCCTATGCTTCTGGTACTACACACACAGGTGTATTAGCCACCCTGACGTGAATGTGAATGTGAAAACACTGTTTGTAAAGAAATTTACAGTTTTGTTGTTTCTTACCCCACGGGTTATGAATGTGAAAACACTGTTTGTAAAGAAATTTACAGTCGATGTCTATTTCTGAATCTCATGTCCAATGCTGACTGATGTCGGACAGGAAGAGATGACTATTCACACATTTTATGTCATTAAATGATCTTGCCTTATCGTATCCAAGTGTTGCAGAATGTGCCGACTTTAAAGGGAATCTTTCCCATTGGCCTAAGTTAAAAGATCGATACCACAATCCAGCAGTTTCCTGCCTCGGGATTTGAGTTGTCCCTTGGGACTGATACTTTTAGTAATGCTACTGTTTTAATTATTGTACAAGAAAACTTTATGTTCTAGTAAAATTCTGAAGTGTGGTTTTTTTTTTTTTTCAAAAAAGGATACTCGACCATTAAAGAGATGTAAAGCAAATTTTTCTTTGATATGTTTGTAGGGTGATGGGAGAATATCAGTTCAGTATATAACTGAGGAGTGTCTAAAGAAATTGGATACAAAGCAGCAAACAAACACTCTACTGAATATGGTTTGGAGAGATTCAGCTAGTGAAGAGGTCTTTACCTTGATGGCATCAATCTGCCACACACTAATGGTACAACACCGAATGATGGTGCCAAAAGTCAGGCAAGTATAAATAATAGTGATGTTGTACATCTAAGATTGGTTTTATTATATACACTTGTTTTAAATACCCTATGGAGTTATTTTTCCTGTTTTTTATGATCAGCTGAAAGGAATAAGAATTTCAGAATTTAAATAATAATTCCAGGTAAACCAAAGAGTGGATTCATTCTGTTTCTTATTTTTCTTCTTTTTTATTGTGCTCTCTCTGGAATAATCACAAAACTGTGATGTCTTGGTTTCTTTAGTGAGTTGCAAATAAGTTAGTATTCTATCACCACCTTGAGGACTATGGAACAGGTAAAGTTTGTGATCAGAAAGTCACACACAAAGAGGGATTGCAAAGATTCTTGAAAGGAGTTTATCCATCAGCTTGCTCAGAGGCAGTGTTAAGTGTCATTATAGCAGGTTTGTCTAGGTTGCTTTTTAAAACTTTAAGTGATACGAATTCCAGTCTCTGTAACTGGCTGAGCACTGAAACCAACTTGTTCACTGCCCCCTTTAATATATAGCCAAAATCTCTCCTGCTACAAATGAGAACGATTCCTAACTATTGAAACCCACTGTTGTTGTTTGGGAAGGGCTTTGGCACCTGAGAGGGAGATAAAAGACTTGTTCATTTTTACAGCGTTCTGTTACAAAGGCTGCAAACCACAAATGTCACTAACAGTGGAGGAAGATTTGTGACCTTTTTATCATCAAGTGAAGACCCATAAGTATTAACACCGTTCTGGTGCAAGTAGTTTTGAATAAGTCTGTAGTTTCTGGTAGTAAAGTAAGTATTTAGGGAATGTTGTAAACATAATCAATTCAAACTGCATTGTAAACAATGATACAGAAAACTAATTAGGTGCTATCTTAGCCCAATGGTGTTTATAGCTGTTAGAGGAAGTAAGATGTCAGTGAAACTGTGATTGCTCGATTAGGGTAATTAGTTCTTTGTAGACTAATTGCATTAGAGCAGGATGTGAGAGCTGAAGATCATAGCAGCAGTTGAACTAGTATGCCCGCTTTATTGTTGCAAGCAGTACATTGCCTTGGATAGTAATTACTGAGTTTAAATGCATCAGTGCTTTGACTTGAGGTTTGCTGGTGAACTGTGTGGAACGGGGTGTTTAATGAATAAAGAAGTCACACAGGACTTTAATTGTATGAGTGTGGCATCTGTTTCCTCTGAGAAGCTTTGGGTCTTTGTAATTACCTGTGGTAACAGGCGAGTTACACATGAATTCAGGAGTTAGGAAAGCTCTACTCATCATCTTGCCATGGAAAGTGATTTACAAATTTTAACTTTTGAGAAGCTCCAACATAGTTGAATTTACTAATTTTAGAAATAAGTATTAGAGATATTAAGATTTGTGTCAGTAATACCAATGGATTTACTTTCATAGTCAAAATGAAGTTAATTCATAAAAGTATTTGGTAAATTAAAGTAGGCATTTAAAGTAGTTCTGACTCCCACGTCAGTCATAACGCAGCTGTCTGGCATCATCGTGCCAGGAGTTCTCAAATCTTTTGTCCTATTCTCAGTGCGTTTTAGACCTGGTCTCAGTTACCAAGCAGCTATGCTAAACATCCTTTCCGGGTGTTTTTCAAAGGGCATTTGTTGTTGTTTTAAAGGTACTAACCATGTGCCATTTCAATAGAGAATGAAAAGATTTTTCATCATTAATTTCCACCTCTTTTTTTAATTGCCTAATGATTTTTTTAAATGCCCAAATGATTTTATCAAATTTAACGTTAGTCTTTTGGAAGATGCTTCACTTGTTTTGTAACTAACTTTTAAATTACTTAATGTTCAGAGTAAAATGTATCTATTTAATTAAACCATCTAGAAATAGTTAAGCAGAAATAATTTATTTAAATTTACCGTATTCTGAGAGCTCTTTTATTTTCTGTTTCGAAAAATACTGGGTCAAATGGTTTTAAAGATAGAAAAGGTTGTTACAAAAAAGTTGCTTATTTAACAGCATTTACAACTGTAATAGAAAATAATGATAATTAAGAACTTAAAGGCTGCAAATCAAAGTGGGATGTTAAATAAAGAGAGTAATAACTGAAAATAACTTTTCAATAACTGTAAAGAAAATAAGGCTAAGGTTAACACAGGCTTTGGAAGGGATGAAACAACAAATAAAGGCTTATGTCACTCTATTAAAACTGAATGCTTTTCTTCTTGTAGCTCCTCAGTACATCTTTGATTTGATTGCTGATAGTACTGTATGGTGTTAGGAAAGTCAGCGTAGCTGCGTTAGTAGCTCAGTAGTTTCTTTGGTTTTGCAACAGAGACAAAGAGAGAACGGAACACGATACCCAAAATTGCAACGTAGTTTTGAACAGAAGGAGCAAGCCTCTAAAGTTCCTTTCTGATTCTCTACAGAGACTGGAGGGATTCGCAGGTGGATTAATGGAAAAGCATGTTGCTTTGGATTAGTCATTAGGAATTTTCTTAAATTCTGAGTAAGTTCTGGAAAGATGCAATCAAGCTGAATTAAAGAAAATAACTACAAAACTGGAAAAACCTAGCTGTAGCTAGTGTTCAGCAAGCCACAATAGAGGTGTAGAATAAAATCCTGATTGTAATGATGTCATTGGGAATTGTACTTGTTTTCAGAGGGGCAGGGCTTTCATCTTTTCACTGTAAAGTTGATAATTTATTGAATACAGTTAATTAAAAAAAAAGAAAAAATGAGTCTTGGAGTGTAGTTTTCATTATAAAGAGATTTGCAAGACTTCTGTTCATCAAGACTATATGTTAAATTACTAGTAAATTCTGTTTCTGTGAAATATTTGGGGATGTCATTTAATACCATAGACTTCAGGTCGTCACTAAGACTTAATATTAAACAGTGATGGCAACTCTGCTTGCATTGGGACTTCAGTCGCTTTCAGACACCTGATTAGTGCCCCAGAGTAATTGCTAATCTTAGTTTAACAGTTTTAGTGACCGTACATTACTACTATTTAATTAATATAAGATTGCTAACCTTAACCTGTGGTTGGAAATTGTTTGGAAAACTGACATTGTGATGTATTAGCAGCCTGTGTTCATCCGTGGGCTGAAGATCCTTGGACTTTGCGTGAGGCTGTTTTAGTAATTCTTCAGGGAGTGCTCTTACACTCTGCTGTTTTTCTTAAAACCAGACTCATTGTATATGAAGTTTTAACTTTTTTTTTTTAAGCTTCGCTTTACATTCTTGGTCCAATGCAAAGAGAGGCAGATAAAGAGCAGTATAGTTCATTTCAGGGTGGCTTTCCCTGCTGTCTCCTACCTGTGACACCTTGCAGTTCAGAAGTGTCAAAATCCCCTGCCTCGGCAGCAGTGACCTTTCGCGGACTGTATGAGCTCCTCTCATTCTGGTGTATTCTCTTCATTAACTTAAATGGTCTCAGTGGGAAACTGGGCCCAATTTATGACCTAGACTGAAAATCTTGCCTTTAACTAATTAACTTGTAGTGGTGCCTCAGCTAAATTAAGCTTAATGGGTCATTTAATCTGTCCCATTGCGCAGGAGGAATTTGACACTTTTTTTTAACCAGAGGTGCCCAAAATACTGTTCTGGCAAGTACACATAAATCATGTAGCCTTTGTGGACAATTAGATACCTATGGAGAGAAACAAGGTTTTAAATAAATGATCGTTATGTACTCACTTTGGGGAGCAGATAATTTAATTTGGTATGATTAAAATAGATACTTAACAGAAATCCCTGGAGTGAATTTAACTCTGTCATAGCCTGTGGCTGAGACAGTGTGCCTTTTCCCACTTGAAAGCAACTTATCCTTTCTGGTAGTAGAAAAATGGTTCTTCTCCCAGACTACAGTGCTAAATCTGAATATTGAACTTTACAATAAAGTATTAATTAATCCATTCTATAAAGCCATGTATAATGATCTCATAATAAAGAAGTTGGTGGTATGCAGTGAGATTTTCAAGAAAATGCAGAACCGCTAGATGGGAGCGGTAAAAATCCAGAGTTTAAACTTTAGCTGCCTGGTTTGTTCTTAGAATAGTACAAATATTGAAAATGAAACCCATGAATTAGATTATAAAAATTTACAGAAAAAAGAAATAACGTCTAATCTTTTTGATTTCTAGTGCTTGTGTGTGGTGGTTTTTTTTTTGTTGTTTTTATTTAAAGGAAAAAGTAATCAAGATTGTATAGACACTCAAGCTTTACATTAACTGATTTCTGAATTTTTTGGGTTGATAATGCTTTGTCTTCAGGGTATATAAGCTATTCCTGTAATGTTCTGCAGTTTATCAGGAATTATTATGTTGTGTTGTGGCATTTTAATCTAGTTCTATCTGGAAATACTGTTTTTTAGCAGATGTGCATCTTTTCTCTGGCAGAGAAAAAGACCAGATAAGGTAGATTTTGAGTTATTTTAATTATCAAAGTTCTTACTTTTTTACTTTTTTTTTTTTTTAGGCTTTTTCATATTTTTTTTTTAATCTAAAGCCAAAAATTTTGGAACTTCTCAGTACAGCAAATTTCTTGAACTGTTGCAGAACTGTGACTTTTCAAGGCCACTCTTGCATTGTGGGTGGTTTTGGTTTTTTGTTTTTGGTTTTTTTTTGGTTACAATTGTTATCTTCTGCTTTGAAAGCCAATTTCTAAACTTGGAGTGGGGTTACAATTGTTATCTTCTACTTTGAAAGCCAATTTCTAAACTTGGAGTGGGAGAGTAGTAGGTTGTTCCTGTTGTCGTTCCTTTTGCAAAGGATTATATTTCAGGAGAATCTAGTGATGTAAAAATTTTGTAATACAAGGCCTAATTTACCCATCTGTGTTTAGTTTTTAGTTTCATGTTTATTTTCTGGTAACGATATGGAAACTTGTGAATTGATGAATTGATCTGTTTCATATTTCACAGGTATTTCATATTGGTAAAATAGGCTGTATGATAACATCTTCTACCAAATTTGCATTTTTGTATTTAACCAGATTTTCAGGGAAGGGAAATGTGAAAGTTGAATATATTCAGCATTTCTGGAATCGGGCCATGAAATATAGCAGTTGCTACAATTGACTGCCTGAATCATGGATATGGAATAAAAATGGCTAAAACTTAGACAAAGGTTATTATTATAAGCTCTTAAGGTTTGTCCTTTTTTTTCCATTCATTATTGCTGGATATTGCTAGAATGAAAAAAGGAATTACATTATGATAGGTTCAGTGTCCATAATGTTTGTTCATTTCTGCTAAAACTATTGCATAATTTCCAGGGATGATTGTAAAATTAATAAGGTTTTACTTGGAAGCCCTATGAGACCTAACGGCACTGTGCCAAATTACTTTTCATTTCAAATACGAGGCTGAAAACTGAAGGTCACTGAGGAAATTTCTCATTTCAGAAACCAAGGCATCTGAGCTATCATTCAGATATTTAAACATTAAAATACAAAAGCTTGTTCTAAATTAGCTAGATATAATAAGCCCTACCTTATCTGATGATGTGTAATTTCCACTCAAACGTCAAAATAATGTGACTTTAGAAGGAAGTAAAATTCCCATGTATCAAATTCACATTGAATTTAAAAAAAAAAAATTCACATACTTAAAGTAGAACTTAATTTTACAATAAAACATCTTAAATGGGCATTAGCTGCAGTTGCTTCAAATTTGACTCGAACTTAGTAATGATCACCAACACGCAACTTCCAAGTGTTTGAAACAAGAGGGGTGATATTTCAGAAAAGAGGCACCGCAGACCAAAGGTTGCCTGGATTTCATTTGCCCTTCTTCTGTGTCCTCTCTATTCTATTTCCAAAACTCCCTGTACCTGTGGAACATTGTCCTTTCTAATGCTGCTTGATGCTTGCGCAGTTCCTTGTCTGTGTGACTGGCTTTTGGTGAGTACGTGGCAGTTGAGAGTTGAAGAAGGGACCAGCTGGGTGGATGCTGTACTTCAGCCAAGGCAGCAAAAAGAGCCCTCAGGGCTTGAGCAGGCAGTCAGCGAGGACCCAGAGGCACATGGCATATGCAGCATTTGTGAGTGGGTGTGTAGGTTTTCTTGTGTGGTTTTTTTTGTTTTAATGTCTTCAAATGAATTGCCGCTTAAAGCATTCTCAAATATTTTTAAGTGTTTACTTAAACACTTAAATATTTTACCTTTTTCCTTAATGAAATGTGTGCTTCCTTTCTTTTTGCCATCTGGCAAATTTTAATTTATCCATGTGGTCTGTAATAAATACTGTTTTTTCAGGCAGTCAGGCAGCAGCTAATCTATACCCTCCTTGCTCCCAGTTCTGTGGATCTGTTGGAACGGGTCCAGCGGAGGTCCACGAGGACGATCAGAGGGATGGAGCACCTCTCCTATGAGGACAGGCTGAGAGAGCTGGGGTTGTTCAGCCTGGAGAAGAGGAGGCTCCGGGGAGACCTTATAGCAGCCTTTCAATATCTGCAGGGAGCCTACAGGAGAGCTGGAGAGGGATTCTTTCTTGGGAATTGTAGTGAAAGGACAAGGGGTAACGGTTTTAAATTGGAAGAGAAGAGATTTAGACTAGATAATAGAAAGAAATTCTTTACAGTGAGGGTGGTGAGGCACTGGAACAGTTTTCCCAGGGAAGTTGTGGATGCCCCATCCCTGGAGGGGTTCAAGGCCAGGTTGGATGGGGCTTTGAGCAACCTGGTCTGGTGGGAGGTGTCCTTGCCCATGGCAGGGGGGTTGGAACTTGGTGATCTTTAAGGTCCCTTCCAACCCAAACCATTCTATGATTCTATGATTTCCAAGCCTCCTACTTGTTGTATACAGGGAATTTTGGTATTATGAGACTGTTGACCTCTGAGAGAAGATATGGACCTAAGTATCTGTTTTACCTGATTTATTCTAATAGTAATTAGGAGAACTTGAAAAGTAGCATTTAGGATAACTAACTGAATATAGTTCTTCAATATCTGAAAAACGACAGTTCGGTCAGTCAAATCCTGTTTGGTTTCCTAGAAGGAAAGACATTAGACATAAATTGTTCCAAATGGTGTTTGTCACATCTCTGGCTTCCTCTAGGGGAAAAAAAAGTAGCCTGAGGGAGACTTCTTAATTCCAGGAAGCTTTTTATTTCTTGTTTCTATAAAAAGTTTGTCATGCTGAAACCATGCCTGAAATAATATGGTTAAAGTCGGGCCTGTATATAACTGACTTGTGAACATACACATTTATTTTTACAGGTATGTAAGCCATTTTCTATGTACAGATGTATTAGTGTATGTGTATGGGTAACTCTACTGATGGACATTGTTCCATTCATATTGTTACATTTACTTCTGCCATGCAGAATATACCAGTAAAGTTGCTACATGATGTACAGTAGTTGCTTCTAGCATAAATGAAAGTATTTTAATCTGCTTTTCACAAAAATTGTTGTTTATTAATGTCAGAAGAACTGCAGAAATGTCCTGTTAACTAGTTGGTGTTTCTCCTATTAGAATTTTAAGAAATCACAGATAAATAACTTGGAGAGTATGTTATTTTTATTCAATGTGTGTTTAACTGTGGAATACTGCAAACTTGGTCTGTATCATGTGGTTTGTTGCTGAGTTAATGATAACTGTGTATTTTAGGTATAAGGATTTATATACTTGTTTTTCACCTTTGAGGTTTTCACCAGATTTGATTAGAATAAGAACCTCCATCTTGAAAAAGCAAATTTGAATTGTTAATGTAAATGCTTGACAGAAAAGTTTTTATAGAAGCATTGTGTTTTGTAAATACTACATTTTGGAAGACATAATTTATTTGAACTTCCTTTTGCAGGCTTCTTTATAGTCTAGCCTTTAATGCCAGATTCCTGAGGCATCTTTGGTATTTGATATCTTCAATGACTACACGAATGATTACAGGGTATGTATTACACCACTTCTGAAACGGAGTCTGTTCAAATAGAACATATCTAGTGAAGAGAGAATGAGAGAATTAGTAGTATTGTTCTACCTTTTCAAAGTACATCAGTATAACAGTGCTTGTGGAAGATGGTTGAAAACAAAACTGTAATGGTTACTTAGCTTCTATGATTTCATAAAACTGAGCAAAACTCAAGAATTGGGCAGTTGTAAATAATCACACATAAACAAAATCTTTATTTAAATTAAGGTGACTATTTGTTTAGTAGGTGACTATATGTTTAGTAGCTTCAATATAACAAACACTGAAGCTCCAAGTGCTTCATCCCAACTGTTTGAGTTCTATCTCATATGCTTTGACCAGCTCAAAAATTGATGGTAGCAGAAGCATGTTCCCAGGAACTGAGGCATTGGACCTACAGATTTGACAAACAGATTAGTTACTCTCTTTGCTTTGTGTCCCTGTTCTCACCCAGAAAGTATCTGCATCCTGCAGTTAATGCCACAGTTCATATATCATCAAGACACTGAGATCCTATAGTGACAGAAACTTAAAGAGAGTAACCTTATTTTGCAAGAATGGGAAATAGTAGTTATTTAACTGAGAGTGCTGTCCTTATTTTGCTGTATGAACTGCTACTAAGTATTTTTAATAAAATGATGAAGTTAATTAGAGTATTTAATTAACCATCTCTATAATTTACATTGTATATTTTAAGGTCAATGGTGCCACTCCTTCAAGTGATTTCAAGAGGCTCTCCAATGTCTTTAGAAGACTCTAGTCGAATTATCCCTCTCTTCTACCTTTTTAGTTCTTTATTTAGTCATTCACTTATTTCTATTCATGATAATGAATTCTTTGGTGATCCAATAGAAGGTGAGTTTCAAGCATAATAAATAGCAGTGCATTGCAAAATGTTTTTTTGTAAGGCTACAGAGTTCCCTGGGCAATGATTTGCTGACATCTGTGGGGAAGGCTCTTCTGGGCTGGCTTGCTGATAGTCCCCTGAGCACTGAGCTGTCAGCTGGCTCTTTCATGGTGATTACATTTAGGAAAAAAAAAAAAAAAAAAGAAAAAAATGATGGTCTGCACCTTGGGACCCCTAGCTTTACAGGGTCTGATATGAAAGTTCTTAATCATGATTAATTTTTTAATGAGTTAGTGAAGAGAGTGAGGTTATTCTGGACTGAACCTGTAGTCTAATGTAAAAAAATTTACATAGCAGCAATCAAAAAGGAGAATAAAAGAATATTGTAATTAAAACTGCATTGTGACTGCAAACAATTAGAAGAGCTGATTGCCTTTTATAAATGTATACTCTTTCTCTTGTTGGGTGATGTCTTTGCTTTTGATTTTGTCTGGTAATATTAAAGTTATAAATTTAAGTGTTTTTTAATAACAAAATGGTTAATAAAGCAGTTTAAAGAAACTTAAACTTGTGGTTTATGTAGTTGTAGGTCAAAGACAATCATCAATGATGCCTTTTACACTAGAAGAGCTTGTAATATTATCACGCTGCCTTCGAGATGCATGTTTAGGAATCATAAAGTTGGCTTACCCAGAAACAAAACCAGAGGTTCGTGAGGAATATATCGCAGCATTTAGAAGTGTTGGAGTAACAAAAAATACAGAAATGCAGCAATGTATACAGACAGAACAAAAAAAGTGGATTCAATTATTCAAGGTAAATTGTGTCAATTTTCAGAAAATATTTCAATAAAATTTTCAGGCTTCTGCTGACAATATGAGATTAGCTATTTTTTTTTTTCCCCTAATTAAACACAGTTGCTACAAGGAAGGTGGGTTTGGGAAGGTTGCTTTTTGGCTAACTTTGGCTAAACTTTGAGTAATTCAATTCTGATCACTGTAACATTTTTTTTTTTTTCCCTTCTAGCTACTCTAAATTTCCATGCTTATTCTGTTTATAGAAAAGTTACTGTGTAGAATTTAGGTTGTAACTTGGACTCCCATTCAGGAAGGTACTTAAGCACATCATTGGAACTTTGTGCAGGTGTGAAATTCTAACTGAATCATACAATTTTTTGAGTACTTCTTTTTTTGGAGGCTTCACTAAATTGGTACCATGCTGTATTGGCCTTGTTGGTGTTCACCTAAAATACAATAGTATTACTCCTTTTGGGTTGGCTGGAATACTAATGGGGTGGTGAATCTGGCTTAGGCAAATGTAAACTTAATGTATGTTATTTCTGGATATCTACCAATGTATTTCTGCTAGTTTTATCCATGGCATCCTACCTAAGACATGAGTTAAGAGTAGCTGAAAACGTTGGCAGGAAAAAACCTAATATAACTGTTGCCGAAAAAAAGGAGTGCTTGACTTGTCATGAAAATTCTGCAGCAAACACATCTAGTCAGCTAAAATTGCTCATTAAAGAAGTGGGAGCAGAAGAAATGCATTTTCCAAATTGAATGCTAGATTTACAGTCTGTTTAATACTGGCGACCTCTCGCACACTAATGTTCAGTTCGAGTCATCAGCTGTCCCTTCAGGTCTTTTATCACTGCTTTTGTCAAGCTATCTATTTAATTGAAAGAAGTTAATTGAATGAAAATGATCAACTAAGCTTGTATTAATATTGCTAATGGAACTTTCTTCTTGGCCATGTTTGGAGAAAGATGTCATGCTAGACTTTAGGAAAGGCCCATTAAGGCTTGCACTTAACCTGATGGGCTAATTAAGGAATGCTTATTCATTCTACAAGTCTAAGATAGGCTCTATCCAGCCTATTCTGCCTGATTTTACAACACATTTCACTTATGAGCATAAGCATTAATAGCAGTGAGAGTAACTGATAATGTTTTGATTGCATTGAATACAGTCCTAATGCACCACTGAATTTGTAATTTGCAGGGATTGATCTAATATATGTTTGCACAATTTAATTTAATTACTTGTCTTTAAATTGCCAAATAAACTCTCGATTTAAAGGTCACAAGTGAAAACCCCAATATGTCTATTTTTCTAAGGAGGGAGGCATACTAGGGGTATTTTTATGTATGTGATTTATATCACACCATCTTCTATTTTTTCTATTTAGTTTGTTATATTTAATCAATCTTTTTACATTTCAGATGAAGTTGATAATATTTTGCTGTCAATCAGAAAGTTGTAAAATCCCAGGGTATTCTGCCCCAGTTTAGCAGTCAGGAACTCATAGTGGAACTGTCCAAACTCGGTGTGCTTTTACTATTTTCAGGAGCAAGAATTGTTTTCCATTAGCTGAATTACAAATGTAAATTTTGAGGGTATCATGAAGGCTCTGGGTTTCCCAAAAGGTAGCCGTAACAAAGCTTCCTATGTTTACTCCTGAAATCTATTGCTACAGATAAAAATTCAACACGGTAAAAGTTTGTCTCATCAAGAAGGCTGCTGTGCACAGCACTGAGTCTCTCCTGAGGGCAGCTTCAAAATAGCTTCTTGCCAGTGAGCAGGCAGCAATATCTCCTTCCAAATCATTAAAACAAAGCTGAAATAGTTAATCATAAATTCAAGGTGCTGAAGTCGAAAATCCTTTTACTTCTTTTACGCTATGTCAAATATCTGAGAGTTTTATCTTTTCTAAAGATTTTGCAAGCTGCCTGCAGCGAAAAAGGCACATTCCTTCCCTAGCAATGCTTTTAATTTTCTCTTTTTTTTTCTTGCCCTTGTTTTGCATATTTTTCCGTACTGTTGTCTAATGAAACACATTCCTGTATATAGACACAAATGCAGTCTTTACTTATGCAAGGTAATGATAAATCTGAAAACAGACTGCTGACAATGATGTGCTTATTTGCTAGCCCCCTGGAAGTCTTTGCAATGGTAAGATTTACATGTGAAAACATCTTTATTCAGTGGAATCTCCCTTTCTTAGCTTGGTATAATATTGAATAGTGTAGTCTACTGTTACAGATTCCATAGAAGGACTTAAGTTATGAGTACATGAAATTGGATCTTGTCAAATAAAATAATGTAATTCACTACCCTGAGTTAATTCTATGAAATTAAGTTGATAATTCTGCTGAATTTTAGCTTTTAATCTTGTACTTGGTCCTGCATTGGAAAGAAATCCCGATTTTGATATTACTAATTGAAGTGGGTCTTTCAATAAAATATATACTTAAAAAATTTTACAAAGGAGTCATGAGTTTAGAATGCTAGTCTTCTCAATTGTTGTTGTTATGTAAAAGGAACTCCAGTATCACATAATTTGATTCACCTTCCTTTAAGGAATCTTTAACTGCTTGTAAAATACCTTATTAGCATTATCTTCACGTGGATAATTTTTTCTGACACCTCCCCCCCGTTTTTTTTTTGTTTTTTTTTTTTAATTTCTTTTAAGTATAGTGGTAATGGGACAGAGCTTCGGTGACTCATCTAACCTGCACTGAATTTTATAAGGGCAAGGTGATGAAAATTCCTGTGTAATCAGACAGTTCCCTTAATAGCATTTGTCTTTGTTCTGTCTCTATTCAAGACATTACTTTACAAACTGGATCTTAAAAGGTCTTTTTTGTAGTACCTAGACACAGAATCCTTTAGAAGATCCATTAAACTCTTTGTTACTCTTGACACCTGCCATTAAGACTGTCTTTTAGCAAGATTACTCCAGAAAAGCTTTGTGTATGGTTTTTCCTATTCACTTTTCAAGCGCTGGAGTTCTACCTCGCAAAACCGATAGCTGTTCATTGTAGCAGGGATAACGTCTTTTAGGCTAGTAATTTAATATTCTGGTGATTCCACTGAATTGTGTTTTATGTAGTGTTAGGCTCATTTGGTTCTGCTTTGGAGAGAAGGCATGCAACCAACTATGACAATTGTGCTTGAGCTGAACTAGTTGTTAGCTTGATATAGCTTGATATCCCTAATTGGTTATTTTGTTTCCTTTTTTCTTTTTTTCTTTTTTAACTGGATTGGAGGAAACTGCCAAGAAAAATCTTAAAATTGCAAAGACACTCTGGTGACCATGATAACTATTTTTCTCAGCCTCCCAATTTTGTTATGAAGATGTGCCTAAAAAAGTTCAGTTTTCTTGTTCACTGTTGTAATAATTTCGTCATTTGCGTTCCTTGTGAATAAAAGTGAATTAAACATAGTTGTTTAAGCTGATGTGCTTGTGATGGGGTGAAGTATGGGATTATGCATCATCACCCATTGTCGTTCAGCTGATAAGCAGTGATAGCGGGTGATGATGACCACTCTTACTAGGTGGTTTTTCAGGTGAAAGCTTACACCTTCTGTTGGAGAAGGTCTTGCTGACTTAACACACTAAAGGACTTTTACCTAACCCATTGTAGTTTGTAAATAACATTATGATACTACGGTATATGTGTGCATATTAAAGGAAAATTGCAACCAGCCACCCCATACATGTATTTTTAGGTCTATAGGTGGTTTTTGTGCTTGTTATGGTCGTCACTAAAAGAATATTCAGTAACCATCCTTTTTCTGGAAAGGATAATTTTCTGATCTGCTTTCAGGCATGTGAGCTATGGGCCCTTCTCAGGAGTGATTTTACTTTCTGATCTGATGTGTTGGATCCTTTAAGTAGGGTTTACTGTACAGTATAAACAACTGAGCTAGTCACACTAGGATTTAATAGAGGCAAGAACTTTAAGGGTACAGTTCATTTGACAAATTGGTAGCTACTTCTGGATAAGATGATATTAATTGACAAGAAAAAGACCCTGTAGTGTCTCTTTAGATGTAGACCTTTACCCTTAAAAATACCAGCATTAGTGTTTTCACCTATGGATAATCACTTCAGTGTTTGATGAGGTGATATCATCAGCAGATACTTAGGATTTCTCTGAGACAGCTTTAGCTGGAAATGCTTTAGTTTGTTGATGCAGCAACCAGAAGTAATCAATCTTCCATGTACTTCAGAGATGTAACTTTTGCTGTTATGTTTTGCTGCCAATTTAATGCTTCTGCCCTCTCCCCTACTGTCTGGAGTTGATGTTGGGTTTTGTACAGTTTGGCCATTGAGAAGCACATCACAGGATCTTGTGCTAGTTAGTTAGTTAAGTTTATTGACTGTAGGCAGAAATAATCACTGTTTATTAGTTGATCACTCAGATTTGCTTAGTGTGGAGACTGAGAAGCACGTCACAAGATCTTGTGCTGGTTAGTTAGTTCAGTTTATTGACTGTAGGCAGAAATACTGTTGAGTAGTTGATCACTCAGATTTGCTTAGTGTGGAGTGATCTTTGTTGTGAGATGGCCAGCAAAAGTTCCATTCTTCTGTGGATCATTTTCCTTTAAAAGTGATGCATTTAAGAAATTTAAGAATCCTCCTCCTTGAAAGAAAACCTACAAGTGACCCAAATTGCTTGAAATCTCAGTTTTGGAATGAGTAGTAGTAAAGAACAGTTATCTCCTTTCTCTTCTAAAACACACATCTATTCATATGTTTAATGGTTCTGAAAACCTATGTAAGCAGAAAAAGAAAAAAAAAATCTATATTGAAGACCATTTTATAAATGACCTGGTTAGATGTTACTTTCTTTAAATAAGTAACTTAATGCTGGTAATGATTTGATTAGGCTTCCCTGAACTGGCAAAGAACTTTTAAGGTGTGCAGGGTAGTCCTAGTTCTGAGGTTTTGGAATGAGACTTCAATAAGCCAATTCTTACAACTTACAAGTGAACCACAATTACTTACTTGCATTCTATAGCTATCTCCTTTCTCTTCTAAAACACACATCGATTCATATATTTAATGGTTCTGAAAACCTATGTAAGCAGAAAAAGAAAAAAAAAATCTATATTGAAGACCATTTTATAAATGACCTGGTTAGATGTTACTTTCTTTAAATAAGTAACTTAATGCTGGTAATGATTTGATTAGGCTTCCCTGAACTGGCAAAGAACTTTTAAGGTGTGCAGGGTAGTCCTAGTTCTGAGGTTTTGGAATGAGACTTCAATAAGCCAATTCTTTTTGACGACTTAAAAGTGAACCACAATTACTTACTTGCATTCTAAGGTATTGAAAAATAAGAACAAGCTTTTGTAAGTTAAAAATAAGGAACAGTTTCATACCTTACTGAAAGATTTTCTTAAGTTTTTGCTTGTAGAATATACAATATTGATATATGCAATATTCTGTATTGAAAGAAAAAGAAAAAAAAAATCTATATTGAAGACCATTTTATAAATGACCTGGTTAGATGTTACTTTCTTTAAATAAGTAACTTAATGCTGGTAATGATTTGATTAGGCTTCCCTGAACTGGCAAAGAACTTTTAAGGTGTGCAGGGTAGTCCTAGTTCTGAGGTTTTGGAATGAGACTTCAATAAGCCAATTCTTACAACTTACAAGTGAACCACAATTACTTACTTGCATTCTACGGTATTGAAAAATAAGAACAAGCTTTTGTAAGTTAAAAATAAGGAACAGTTTCATACCTTACTGAAAGATTTTCTTAAGTTTCTGCTTGTGGATTATACCATATTGATATATGCAATATTCTGTATTGAAATGTATGTGTTTCTGTCACGTAGGTCATCACAAACTTAGTGAAAATGTTGAAATCTAGAGATACAAGGAGAAATTTCTGCCCACCAAATCACTGGCTCTCAGAACAAGAAAACATTAAAGCAGATAAGGTAAGAATAATATCCTTTTTTCTTCTAAAACACACATCGATTCATATATTTAATGGTTCTGAAAACCTATGTAAGCAGAAAAAGAAAAAAAAAATCTATATTGAAGACCATTTTATAAATGACCTGGTTAGATGTTACTTTCTTTAAATAAGTAACTTAATGCTGGTAATGATTTGATTAGGCTTCCCTGAACTGGCAAAGAACTTTTAAGGTGTGCAGGGTAGTCCTAGTTCTGAGGTTTTGGAATGAGACTTCAATAAGCCAATTCTTTTTGACGACTTAAAAGTGAACCACAATTACTTACTTGCATTCTAAGGTATTGAAAAATAAGAACAAGCTTTTGTAAGTTAAAAATAAGGAACAGTTTCATACCTTACTGAAAGATTTTCTTAAGTTTTTGCTTGTAGAATATACAATATTGATATATGCAATATTCTGTATTGAAATGTATGTGTTTCTGTCACGTAGGTCATCACAAACTTAGTGAAAATGTTGAAATCTAGAGATACAAGGAGAAATTTCTGCCCACCAAATCACTGGCTCTCAGAACAAGAAAACATTAAAGCAGATAAGGTAAGAATAATATCCTTTTTTCCCCATAGTCTTACAGGTGCTAAGGTTTCAATGGTGAAGGTTTGATTCCTGACTGCATTTAATGATGTTGACGTTGCACAGATTTAGCGTGGTGCAAAATCTGGAGTAATGCTGCTTTTCTCTAATGTAAAAGTCTTGCATCTCTTCAGAAAATTTTATGTTAAATTGCATTTCCGGTCCAAAAAGTAGAATCCACACTGCAGTGGGATGGTGTAAGTCATCTGCATTTATAGCAGAGAAGAACTGAAAATCTGGGAGCATTTTGTAGCATTTTATTTTCTAGTTATTTGAAGTGCTTCTCATAATAATAAATGCTAAATTAAAGAATTTCTCTATAGAGGGGAAAAAACACTGAAGATTCTGTTTCAAAAGAAAAGAAAATTATTTTCTTTTAGCATTTTCTGTACTTACGTATTCTAGAATTGTTTTTTTCTAAGAGGTCTTAAAAAAAAGACATTTTGCTGCAAAAATGTTTATATATGTGCAAAGACATGTATGAATGTGCAGGTACATCCTTGGAATCATTGAAAACTTGGACATGACAATTTAATGTCTTTACTATGTCAGTAAATTGTAATATGTAATTAGGTAATGCTTAACTGTAAAATACTGTTAATTTATTAGGTTACGCAGCTGTATGTGCCATCTGCTAGACACGTCTGGAGAGTCAGAAGAATGGGAAGAATAGGACCATTGCAATCTACTTTGGATGGTGAGATACTATCTATACAATTTTTGTTTTACTAAGTCAAAATAGCAGTTTGACTTCTGGAAAGAAAATCTTTTATAGAGCTCAGTTGAGTATTTTGTATAAAAGTCTTAATGATAGCCAAAAGCAAGGCAATCTTTCATCATTTTGTTTCAGATATTTTAAAAAATGTGTTTGTATATGCATGTGAGTGCATACTCTAAGGGCACTCACTGCCTTTAGAGTATCTCATGTATAACAGCTTTCCCCAAACTTCTGCTGTCATTGATGAGGGGAACATTGATGAGGTGGACAAATGATGTGTGTTAAAAATAATATATGTATTATCGTTATGTATGATATAAAGTATTATTAATATAGTTGCAGAAGAGAAAAGTATTTATGTTTTGCTTTTACTATATACTATAATGAAACTTCTTTATTATACATTAAACTGTAACAAACAAGCTTTAGGTACCATGATAAGTATTGATTCTGTTTATAAATATTGTCTCTAATTAGGTAAGGCAGCAACTTAACCCCTTGAATTACTCAAAATATCTAGACTTTATGGAATTTCTAAGGAAAGATGAGAGAATCGGTCTAATTTAGCAGTCAGGGGAAATCTACACTAGTTGAGTTGTGCCAATATACTTTGTCATATAGACCATCTGTTTCTTTCAGCTTTTCATACCTTTGTATCTTCACTATTCTAGAATTTTACCTTGCTATGCTCAGGTAAAATAATCATTAAATCACTAATGCTTGTGAAGATTTCATAATGAATGAAAAATGGAGCCTTTAAACAGCAAAATGATTCATCTACAAGAGTCTATACTCTCTTTCAAGGTGATGTAATCTGCTTGAATATCTTAGCCAGATAACAGTAGATCATTTAGAGAAGATCGTAGCCTTTGAATGCTGCCATAGAGTTGTATACAATTAAGGACTTTGTCCAAGGTTGAAGCCTAAGAACTTATTAAAAAGATATTTTTTAGTTGAATAGCTATGACGTTATAAGTTTACATGGATTATTTTATTAGTCTAGTTGTCAGGTCACAACTTGTTGGTCCAGTGTAGGAACTTAGAATTTTGAATTGAATATTTTTTCAATTTAGTTTTTCTCTTTGGAAATGGCCTATTCCAAATGATTGATAATATGAAATCTTAAAAGCAGGTGTTTTAGCAAAAATTGCCAGGCCTCAACAAGCCTGTACCCTGTGTGCATTATGGACTCTACCCCAGTAATCCCTGTTTATTCCATTGACCTACATGGCTCTTGACAGCTCTATTGTCTTGATGCTCTCCGCTGTCAGACCTGTTCCACAGCTATTCCTCCCAGATTCTCCCGCATGCTATTAGTCTACTGGTCTCCTTCCCCTCACACATGCAGTGCCTTGTGCTCTCTCCTTTGTCTTCCTTCCCCTGATAGCACCAGTTTCCTCCATTTCATTAGCTGCCTTGGTCTGGGCAGTGGGTAGATAAGGAATTCATGTGCTGGGGCTGGTGCGGAGCAGCTGCGTGCCCTCATTTTGTGGCTGGTTCTCAGACAAGCTGACACACTGAACAGAGTAGATACTGAGCTCTCCTTGCTGTTTCTGGAATCAGGTCACTAAAGGAATTTCTCTTCTCTATCCAGTTGAACATTTTGACAAAACTTAGTATTTTTGAATCTCCTGTTCTCTGTCGCAGTTAAAATTCAGCCGGTTAGCTCAAAAGGTGTGTTGGAGGCCATATAGTGAGGAAAGATGATAGAATGTGTTCATGTAAACCTTGTTTTCATATGAAATTGGGATTAAAAAAGTTCAGTCAACATGAATGTGTGAAAACAAGCAGGTAACAATGTGCACCTGACTTGTTTAATCCCTTATGACTCCATATGGGTTAAAGCCAATTAACATGAAAGTACTGCTGAATCACATATGGTCATGTTTATTTGTGCTTTTTCATTTACTTAAATGGCAGACTCCTGAGTTCTAAATGCCCTCTGTATTGATGACTCCATCCCATATTTCTCTTTAAAGAAAGAAGCTGTGATGGAGAAATGCAGATAAAATTGACTAATTGACTGGAATAATTGAACTGTCGAAGTCATGTAGTAGTTTACCTTTGCTGTACATGCACTTTTTATTTAAAATGCTTTTAACCCTTAGCTTAATAGGCTGCATACATTGACTTTAATTAAAAATGTTTACTAAGTAAACTAAGAGTAGTCACAGATAAGCATTTTATCAGAAATTCCAAAGGCTTGCGATGTTGAAACCTGCCCCAAATGAACATACATCAAGTATAGTGATGTTTTGGGTCACGTCATGTTAAATTGGTGCTTAAAATATCCTTACTTAAAGGGCTTTGAGGAGTGGGGGGAAAAAAAAAGAAAAAAAAAAAGAAAAGAAAAAGAAAAGAAGTGATGTCCAGTTGCAGAAAGGCAGCAAGATGCAAGTCACCACAGGTAGGAGCCAAAGGAAGAACTTGAAACTGTCTTCATGAACTTCCAGACTGGATAGTAACATTGAGCATGTACTTCACTTTTGTAATAAGGTCTATAAGTAGTCTACGCTCTGGAGTCTTTTTTGGAGAAGGTGGTTATTAAACATGAAAATGAAACAACTAAGGAGTTGTGGGTTTTGTTTCTTCTTTAGACTGAAGCTAGGTGGATCTTTAACTACTGTCTAGTCAGTGAGCAATACCATTTTTTAATGCTGCAGTTAATTAACTTACAGTCAGATATGTACTCAGTAGCTGAGTTTCTTCTCATGAAGTTAGAGCAGGATTATCACTTTGTCGCTTTTACTGTGCATCCCCCAAAGTTGGGTTGTTTCCAGAGAACATCCTCTGTGGGTGTAAGAAGGAGCTGCATGGTGGCTTGGGAACTGCATGCCATTGAGTCTCTCTGTTGCTGTGGCTTCTTGAATTCAATTCTGATCTCTTTTTCTTAAGCACCTTATACAATTTCTTGATGTTCTTTTTACTGTTTCTGCAGTGACTGAGAGTTAATGTGATCACTGAGACCTTGCTGTTGGGAGAGAAAACTCATTGAAATAAAAGTTATCTTTCTGTTGGTTTCATTAGATTTGGTTTAATTCTTTGTTTTTATGCCTAAAATTATTTAATTGAAAGTAGGTGTTGTAGTTGAAAGCACAGTACCTTTAAACTATTTTGATCACTGGTATGGGAATATTGTGTATTCCTGTGATGAAAATTCTAATTACTTACACCTTCTTAACTGTCTTCTGTGATGTATTTTTTTCTTAATTGAAAAATTAAAATGTCAACCATAAGAAAATAACTTTTTTTTTTCTTCTGAATAAAATGAAGAACACAGAAGTTTTTAGTTTTATACACATTTTGCTTTCAGTTTGTTTTCAGCACTTACATTTCGGTTCGCCTGTAGAAACTAATGTTTAAAGAAAGGTAAGGCTTTGTGTGACTGTTAAGTAAATAAACTATTTTAATATGTATGTTTATATAAAGTAAATTGAGTCACTTGATGCAAAATAAACTGTTTTAAAAAATGTTCTTTCCAAAATACTAAAAATTATTATTTCTATTTTAAGTGGGTTTGGAACCAGCACCTCTTTCTGTATCTGAAGAACGACAGCTTGCAATTCTGACAGAGCTACCTTTTGTAGTTCCTTTTGAAGAAAGAGTAAAGGTACCTAATTTCTAATTTAATATACAATTTTTTAAAAGTTTTTTTTAGTTTTCATTAAGTGTGAAAAGAGCACTTTGCTGAGTAGAAAATGGATTGTTTCCCTACAGAAGGATATGACAGGCCATAGTGTTTTACTGCAGTACTCATGTGGCAAATCAACATTTGAAGTTACTTACTTTTCTCTTATTTTGCTAGTTATGTTACCCTTTGTCATGATTGCATTAACATCAGAACCATGTATTCCAAGATAAATGAGAGCAGTTGTATGTTTATAAAAACGGCGATCCTGATTCAATGATTGATTTACATGATTGCACCCTCTTGTGGTAAGCAGAGCACTAACTAGTTGTGTATCTGTAATAAACAGATTGCAAGGTCAAGACTGGAGACTTTTGTGCAGTGGGTGGATTTACTCAGAATGAGATGATGGATGTCCATTTTGGGAAAGTAACGCCTAGAGATTAAATTTCTGCATTCATAGCTGAGTAGCTGAACTTTAATAGAGTATGTAGTTTAAAACTTGCAAGATTCTTGTATTATTGGATTTGCTTTTGAATGTTTTCTAGATTTTAAATATGTAATTGTTAGTTCTGTTACCTATTTTAGTTTGCATAATTTTTTTTTTTTAAAGCTATTACCCTGTTACTCACAACTTCTTTTCTGAACTGCTTTTGTTGTTAACAGTATCAGTTACTTAAAAACTGCTCCCTGAATTGTCTTGGAAACACTAAGTTGCAGGACACCATCAAGAGAATGAAGAATAGTTCCATAGGGAAAATAAATCCGTAGTTTTCTAAAAAGACACTGACAGCTTTGGTAGAAAAGGAGGTTTTTTTCCAGGCTTCTATGAAACTTGTGTGCCAACAAAACATCTCAGTGCCATATGGCAATATTGCAGCAGGATTACAGGGAAACAATTGGAAGTGAGCCCAAGCAGGGTTCTCTAGGTCATGATGTAGTCACTGTCTACATCCTCTGGACTTCCTAAAGCTATGTTGAGGTGCCTATATGTTAAATTCCTGGAATTCATAAAACCTTGTTTGGTTTTACTGCAAAAACTGAAATAACTATTGGATGAGAGCTTGGAAAGAAGGATAAAGCTACAGGCTGAACTTTTATACTCCTTGTTGGACAAAGTATGGCCTTTTTTTATCTAATAGTGGGACTCAATATCCCTTTGGAGTCTCCCACTGCTCCTGCAAAACAAGTTGCAGTAAGGGAAGAAGAAACCTTATCATGGCCTGGTTGGTTTTTTTTTATTTTTTTATTTTATTCTATTTTTTCTTTCAACTAGTTGCCGTCTATTATGCTGTAATTTAATGTGGTAATACAGCTCAGTGCTGTTTCCATGTGTGGGTTGTTCTATGTATCCTTTAATTTTTAGACTTCTTTGTGAGATTTTTACCTCGAATTACCAGATACTAGATAGTCTTATACGCAATTACTGAGTCCAGTTTAATGGTAGGCTCTTCAGGACTAACATATGCATGAACATTAGATTCTGTAGGAAACCAGACTCTATCACAAATAATTTTATGAGATATACCTCCAAGCAATTCTTTCCATCTAATGTTTTGGAGCAACAGTTAACACACCTTATCTAGTCATGCTGCAGGCAAGAGAATAGTGGGGAGCATGTTCCCCTGTAAAAAGAAGGTATCTGTGGCTATATGTTTTGATGTTGTACAAACTGTAGAAAAATTTAGGTCAGAAGGGACCTCTGGAGGTACTATAGTCCACATTCTTCCTCATACAGGAATAACTTCAGAGTTGGATCAGGATGCACAAGGACTTGTCCAGATGAGTTTTGACTGTCTCCAAAGATGGAGATTTCACAGACTCGTCATGGAACCTCTTCTGATACTTAATCACTCTCATTATGAATTTTTTTTTTCTTTAGATCCATTCTGTATTTCTCTTTCTTCAGTTTATGACTATTTTTTCTTGCCTTTTTCCTGTGTACTCTAGGGAAGAATCTGGCTTTGTCCACACTACAATCTTCCTGATTGGAGACCATCTCCTCCACTAGCTACAGTTGACCATAGTAACAGTAGATTTGAGACCTTACCCTAGCTTTGTCCACTGTTGTCAGATTTTCCTCTTCCATGGTAAATTTGTTGCTTTTAAATGTCCCTGGAGACTCCTACTTAATCTTGTTAATTAAGAAAGCAGTCTGTGATATTATTGGGAGAATGCATCCCTTGGAAAATGTACTGGACTGTTTATTGAATATGGAAAAATGCAAGAGAGGATGTAGTAAACAGACACTCCCTGGATTGAGGGTATATTGGACAGTATTATGTATTAGGTGCTATACCTTGGCATAGAAACCTGATTCGCTACAGTTACTCTTCAGGTGAACTATTAACAGGTTCCTTTAGTGAAGACTTAAAAAGGGACAAGGTGTGAAGTTTGATTTGTAGTTCAGCTGGTGTTCTTCTTTTGAATTGGTGTGATGCTGTGGTTCTTAGTTTAACGTGGCAGTGCTATCCACTGTTTTGCTTTGAATTATTTGCTTGCTGCTCCTGAGAGGAGAACTGATACCTAATTTCTTGTTACTGGCAATGTTTGTAAGCGTTACGAAAAAATGACAAAAAATTATTTAGTAGTATTGAGGATTGTCTCTGTGTGCAAAATACTCATGTGACTTTTTCCTTTTGTTTTTGAATACTTTGCATTTCAGAACTCTGAAAGTTAGGGAGAGGAAACTGGAATCACTGACACAATGTCTGTAGATGTACCTCTCTATGTAGAAAGAATTGAGGATGATATCTTAGCACAAAATAGTTTCTTCCATGCCTTCCCCTCTCCTTCCCTCCCTTGGGACACGGCTCTGTATTATGTTTCCATGGCTCAATGAGAGGGAAGACAAATCACTTGAAAGTGAGTGCCCAGAAGCAACTCAAAGGACAGTAGTAGCAGTGAATAACCATCTCTCATTGAATATTTAGGTTTGCAAAATGACAGGATTTCTCTTTTTGCTCATTTTAACAGATTTTTCAAAGACTGATCTATGCTGATAAACAAGAAGTTCAAGGAGATGGGCCATTTCTGGATGGAATTAATGTCACTATCAGAAGAAATTATATTTATGAAGATGCTTATGATAAGCTTTCTCCCGAAAATGGTAGATTTACTATAAATCTTTATAACATTTAACATTCTTACTGTGTAGTTACGTATTTGCGTACTTGAGTAGGATGTTAAAAGCGTATCAGCTCTGAGGTGGGAAACTTCTTATAAAGTCAAATTTCCTTGTTTTTACGTGAAGTAATTCTCATCCATGTTCTTTCTGATTATTGCAGTCTTATTATCTTTAACACACCCTTCCTTAATTCAAACCTACTTTTATGTGGCTTTTCTTCCCATTTACTTGTCCAAATAACTGTACTTTGTATATTTACCTATGTAGTTCATTATATATTATCTACTTTGATAATCTGTGTCAACAAAAATAGTACAGTGTGTCTGATGAGGATAATACAGTGCACTTTGTAGTGATAGTATGTAGTACTATATATTTACCATATTGATTTAAATCATACCTTAGTGTGACACTGTGTGAGAGCGGCTGCTCTAGCAGGTAAAATTCCAACGTAGATAAAACCTGTCAAAATGAAGTCCTTATTAGTTATAAGGTATTTTCGCATATAAAAAGAATATTTGCCAAATACTTGACGTTTGCCATGTGAATCTCACCTGCTGTGTCATGTAATTTCCTTCCTGGAGAACTGCTTATTTTAACGAGGAAGAAGAAGAGGTGTTGGTATTCTTGGTTAGTATAAAATTACTGGAGAGCATGCCTTTTCTTAATTTCCTCTAGTAGTACTAAAGATACTGTTCTGTTTATAAATAGAATTTTGTATTTCAATACCCATGTTTAAAACTGTAATTACCTAAAAGAGATACATTTAAACTAATGTTTTGTTTTGTTTTTTAAATTATTTGCAAATTAATTTCTCCTAGTTTTGGAGGGTTTTAAAGGCTAATCAGGAGATGCCACAGTATAGCCATCTGGAGATTATATGTGCAATTGAGTGTTCAGCCTCTTTCCTAGTGGTTGGGAATAGTTTCATTGTACTCTAGTGGACCGCAGTAACGGTTTAATTTAATTGTAGCTGTATGAGTTACAAAATTGAGCTCTTCTTTTCAGAGGCTGCACTAACTTTGGGGTCCGCCTTTACCTACTCACCTGTTTTGATAAGTGAATTTGTTTTAGGACCATTTTTCCCTCCTTGCTATAAATCTGGTTGTCAGTATGCAGATGAAGATACAAATAACTGATTTTCTTCATAAGGCCCCCAAAACCAACATTTTCCAGAATTTTTGTGCAGGAGAGCATTTCACTGGACTGAAGAACAAATAAGTAATTTTTAAAACTGGCTGGGTGTGAATGGGAAGCTACTAGTTATATGTAGAGGGATTTGGTAATGGGCAAGTGTAAGATAGTTGTATTTCAGTTTGTCTCTTTCCTTTCTCTGCAGAACCTGACCTAAAAAAGCGCATTCGTGTTCACTTACTTAATGCACATGGTCTTGATGAAGCCGGTATTGATGGTGGTGGAATTTTCAGAGAATTTCTGAATGAACTACTTAAATCAGGATTTAACCCTAACCAGGGATTTTTTAAGACCACCAATGAGGGACTTCTTTACCCTAACCCTGCTGCACAGATGCTTGTTGGAGACTCTTACGCCCGACATTACTACTTTCTTGGAAGAATGCTTGGGAAGGTAAAAACTGTGTTGTATAATGTAAAGCTGTAGCAGTACTGAGATTATTCAGTAATTTTTAAATTTTTTTTTCAGATGTTGGATCTGAACATTATTTCCATGTATCACCTAATTTCTGCTTCATTTTAATAAGTTACATACTTGAGAAGTACAGAGAGTTTGAGATGCCTTGCCTTGCCAGTTGAGCAAAGTGTGCATATGTCTCCTTCTTTGTTTATCCTCTTGATTAAAATTAAGTTGATTGAAGCCAATAGAACTGCTCTGCTTATGGTGATTTTTAACCTGGAGCTTTCTGGAGTTTTACTGCAGTTACATTGTCATCATTTGGAATACATGAAATTAATGTTTTCAGAAACAAAGTTACTAGTTGCATGAGGTACATAATTCTTGCAGTATTTAAAATTAGCTATGAGCATTTCCCATGCTTAAGAGCCATATGCAATTAAGTTTCACTTATTCTGTTTGGATTTTTGTACATTTTGCATTTTTCTTGAGTTTTAGTGCTTGATATTTTGGTGTTGTGAATGTTCAAAAACTAATACACACTTGTTGAGCTAGATGAAAAGTCTCCCCTTGAGGGGGGAAGAAAAAAAGAGAGAAACCGTTACAAACATACATTACATTCAGTTTTCTTTTATGGTCTGGTGTAGTAATGAGGCTATTTCCTTCTAAGCCCTTGAAATATTTTTTGTAAAGATAATACTTGAGAGTTTGGAATACAAATTCCATTTCAGAAGAAAATGTATTGATTGCTACTCAGCTGTCTAAAACGGAAGGTATTTAAGATGTGAAAGTCACACTTAACTGCCTGACTTATTTAGGAGGCTAAAATCCTGCTGACTTGCAGTGAGATTTAACATATAGTTGAGTGTCCTTTCAGTGTAGCTGGAAGTGGTTTAAGAGGCTGTTGTTGGCAAAGTCCAGTTGTTGAAACAGAGTGCTGTTCTTTAGAGTTGCCAGTCGACCAATTTAGATTAAACTGCCAATTTGTAGGCAAATTCTCTGCTAATGCATCCTAGCTATTGCAATATCCAAACTTGTTAAATAATGAAAATTTCAAACCAGCCATTTCAATAAAATAATCTTTGAAGGATGTTCCTGCTCTTAATGGGAGATGGATTCAGTAAGAATACAGTAATTTGTAGTTATGACCTGTGTTACATATCCAAGGCTTCATTTTCTTTATGCATCTATAGATTTTTTGGAGTGGGGAAGCGAACGCTGCTGTGGTATTGCGAGGAAGTTACTCCAAAAATGTTTACTTAGGAATGGGGCCGGTCAAGGGGAAGTTTGAAACATTATTTCACAAAAAAGATTGTAATTTTGAACCTTTAATTTTCTCTGTCAAAAAAACACATTGCCTTCTGTAATTGGATTACAAATATTAGCATAAAGACAGAAGCTGCAAAATGTGTTTAATCTGCAATAGAGTGCTACAAGTATAACTTTGGTTTTGTCTTTTTAAAATCAGAGGATCTATTATTTAACATTTTGAAAACATAAATTGTTTTTGTATTTGCAGTATGTTTACATAAGGTAAGAATTGACAGTGTTACTTAATAATTACCCCTACCCAGGTGCACAGACACCTTTTTAGGAGTGTATTTAGAGACTTGATGAATTAAACAGGAAGATAAGGCACGACCATACTATTCAAAACCTGCCAGTATTGTGATCTTGGTTAAGTTATTGAATACTCACTCACCCATTTTCAGAAATGTGTCCATTTATGCTTTGCACAGGGTTATTTGAGAGCAATAGTGGATTATTAAAAGCCCCTTTGTAAACAAAATAGATATAATGCAAAGGAAGCAATCAGGCATCTGCAGCAATTTCTTATTTGTGGAAACCAGTATGTAAAGAGCGCTGCCACCAAAAACTCTCACGTAAGAAGTTTCAATGTTATCAGAAAACAAATACATTAAAATATAATAATTTATAGAAATTCTCTGTCTCTTGGTAACCATTTCACACTAATACCCAAATGCATTTAACTTTCAGTATCATAGATTTACACCCAATTCAATTTTTCTTCTCATCATGAAGTTTCTAGCAACTTGATGTCTTCCGAGTTAATTGGTCAGTTCAGGAATAGAAACATCTGAAAAGTTAAAGCTTACATTTAAAAATGGTGTATCTAAAAATTTAAATTATTTTAACCCTAGTTAAATTTGTTGACTATTTTGGGGTGTATTTTTATACTTAGTGAAGAAATTGAAATCTGTATGCTATAGAAACTGCATGGCTGCCCATGGAACCTCTACTGATCACTGAATGTAGAAATAATACCATGTGATCATGTAATTGCATATGTTGTCTGAAAGCATTCTTTAAAAAAATCAGAAATGAGTTTGCTTAAACAACAGCTACTCAAACACTTCCACAGTTTACATTTCTCAACTTTCAGTGACTTTTACTCTGCAATGTAAATATTATTTTAACATTGCTAGCTTTTAAGCTTTTTCCTTTCTCTTCCTTAAAAGTAAAAGCTCAATGTACCCTACACACCCCTGGCAGCAGTTTCCCACCACTGCCAGGGTCTGAAACTGGAACCTTGCTGTTTTCCCCACTGTGGAAGTGTAGTGGGGACTTTCTGAGTCCAAGGCTTCCATACCACATGCAGTAGTTCTGTAAGGCCTAAAAATCTTCCCCCATGGAGACCTTCCTGCTGCAGCTTTGGCAGCGTCGTGGGCTTGGCTCACGAGAACACAAAGTTTGCTACCCTGGCAGGCCACCAAAATGTTGAGCAGTGTAACCAGAGAAGGGAAGTTTGGAAGCAACACCTGAGAATCTTAAATGAGGATTTTCTGAGTGCTGATTCTTGAATGGTCTGCTGCAAATCTGGAAAGAGGGAAACACTGGTTAACCATTTCAACAGAAACAGTGATTTGTAGAACAGCCGCAGATACAGAACTAAAATCTGAACTTCCCTACGTTCAGACCTGAACTCAGATTTGTATACCATATTAACTGTCTCCATTTCCAGCTTACATTTGCATTTATTAAATGTTAATGTGACAGACATTGTGGAAAAAGACATTCTTTGCATTTGGAGTTATTTGACATCAAGTAGATAATTCTTACGATAATGTACTTAAATTTCATGAAATATTAGCATTAGTTTAAGAATATGGCAGGAAGTCCATAGAAAGATTAGAGTGATGATTTTTATGGTTTCCTCTTTTTGATGTAAACCTGCTAGCTCTTGCATGTATTATGTTTTGCAATGATTGTCTTTGCACTGTTAAAAAATCTCTAGCCATTTTTGTCTAATATGCTCAGCATCTTTGGTTATACTGAATTCAAACATCTCCACTTCTCTCCTCTTACCCCAGCGTATTGAGGAGCGCTAGCGAGTCATGCGTTCATGTTGCTGAAGCACATATACACTATCTTTGAAATAAAATATTAAGTCTCTTTTCCTAAGCAATAGAATCTGCAGTCCTTGGAAAATAGTGGAGATTCCTGAAATGTTTTAAATTTGCTTTGCCAAGACTTAGCTTTTGTTTTAAATGGTTGGGAAGGCAGTATAAAGAAGAAAATGTTGGATTTTGAGTTGTTTTGAACTGAGTCATTCCTGTGTGGATGCACATTAAGAACCTGGATAGTAGAAGTAGTAGCAAGGACTGAACAAAAATAATTTGTTTGTTTTAAATTTTAGCATTATTTTGATGACGGATGAGGCAATCTAGGTTTAGTCTTTCATAGATAATGTTATATAGAAGGTTAGTAATTTGCGTGGCCTGGTGGGTATTATATTGATGAAGGTTTTAGTTGTTTTATTTTCGTATGACTTTTTATAGATTACTGCACTGTTTTAAAATATAACAGACTGCTCTGTGCATATACCTAAATGTTGTTAAACATACAATTAAAACAAAGTTATAAAATACATCTGGTAAAATTAAACATTAGCAGGGTAATAGTAGAACAAATACAACTTTTATTACCTTAGTAGTGAATTTGGGACTGTTAATTATTGATTCAATTATTTTTCTATGTGTTTGAATGTGTGCCTTGTGGTTCCAGTTCGTAACTTTGAATAGAGCTGTGATAGATTATTTGTTGTGCAAGATATTATTCCTGGCTGGAAGGTAAAATTCTAAGATTACTGGCGTCTACAATATCCATTTTGCAGAAAAACTAAAGTAGTCCTTAATCATCCTGAGGCCTCATTTGAAATGGATTGAACTGGTGGAAGTCTTTTCATAGCAAGATCTGGATCAGATCCAAAACTCCTAAATCATTAATAAACTGCATATACAGAGTTAAAACCTTCAAGCAAATATTTCTGATAACATATTTGTGTCCCCTTTTTGCACCAAAAGCTTGTAGAGAGAAAACAAAGCAAAAAAGGTGTACAATGAGAAGAACTGGGGTTTGGGTACTTGAATATTTGGTAGGCTGGTGCATCAAACATGGTGCTGCTGCTCTTCCCGTTTCTCTGACTAGTGAAGGTTTTTTTTAGTTGGGTTTTTTTTTTTTCTTCTGATTTTTAGGCTACCTTTTCCCTTTACTTATTGACCATTCAATTAAGATCCACTTTGGTTTGGCTTAAATCAGTACACTCTTAATTGATTTGTGCTGCAGCCACAATTGATACTACTAGTACCTAGAAAGGTAGATGTGGAATTAGTGATACTGATACAAAGAGAAGGTAATTTGTAAAAATTTTTTGTTTTATTTATTTCAGTTACCCTGCGCGTGATTTTGTAGACTCAGCATTTTGCTTAAAAGCAAGTTAACTGATTATTTGTCTCAGAAAATCCTGAATCATCTGAAATGGAATCAGAGCAGGAATTTACCATGTAACATGGCGTGCTCTTTTAATTATACACTTAGAGTGCAGAAACACAGTCGTAAGAGAGTGGAATTGATACCTTATGGAAGCTATTTCGTGATTTATGAATGTAGATGTAAACTAATCTGAATCTATTTTCTGACACTGTTATTCAGCCTGACAATTCCTTTGTGTACTTGTTCATTTAACATAACCAATT